CGACACGGCATACAATTAAAGTATTCAGACAATCAAATAGAGCAAGCATCACGTCCTAACAAAACAACATCCCACCAAATAAAACAGTAAGAAACAAAAGGCAAAGGTGAAATCAGCGTAATACAGTAGACTGCTCACACACAGCAGTGCTCAACTAAAACTACCATAGATTATATTCTATACCATGTTCCCAGGATTATAGAGGATGAGTGTGACGACCACACAAGATGCTTTACTTTCATAGAAAGAATGGAAATCCTTTTGTTAATTTTAAGAGAAATCTACTTCACTAAACTTCATAGATAATATTTTAACTTTGTACGTAACGAGCAGGCAAACAAATGAAGCATGTTATTGTCAAGCGAGAGGAAACTAAAAATCCAGGCGGGGAATGATCATAGAAGACCACTGCAAGTTCAGAGGTGCTGCTCAAATTATTGAACTATACTAATACCTAAATAGTAACTTAAATAAGCACCATAGGCAACCATTTTTGGGGTCATACTGCTTTGCCTGAATTAGTCCACAGTGTAGCATTAAAGGGGTAACTTTGTATGTGCACAAAGTGTATATATCTACTTATTTGACCTTGTAGTGACAGAGTAGCTGGAAGTGGTCATCATGGAGCCTTAACATTGTGATCAGGCTTGTGCCTCTAGGATCAATTTTGTAGGTGTTCTGCTGTGGGGGGTCCCTCAGTAGAGAAATACTCCCCAAAAATCCCATAAAAGGGCCTTTATCAAACTCCCTGTGGTCAAGCAGAGTGTGCTTTGAACCAACAAAGGTATTCAGATATATTGAAGAAAAGAAAACTTCTCAAAAAATATATTATGTAGCATCATCACTACAGACCACTGTGATGGGAAGTTAAGGCACCAGGCGGCACTGCAAAAAGGGATGAAAAATAAGTTTTAAAAAATTGCTCAAATTTGGCTAAATATATCTTAATTCGAGCATTTATTGACTGCTTTAAAACAAGATTTGCTAATGGGACACGCAAAACCATCTCGTTTTAAAAAGATACAAGAAATATCTCCATTGGAATGAGAAAAATAAACAAATAAAAATAAGACTAAATGGCTTTGTCTCGTTGGCAAATCAGGTTTTAAGACAGTCAAGAATGCACTCAAGAAAACAGAGAACATCGAAAACACTCCATTCAAGCAATGAATTATTACCCCATATTTTATCATTTTTTGCAGTGTGACCACTCAAAGCCGTGTCACTGCGAGGTCAAGCACGCACAAATATGCACTTAACCATATGAAAGTTGCATAATGCCCCTTTACGCTTTCCTTCATCGACTTACAATAAGAATGTACGTTTTTAGCAATAGCAATATTAGCAATACTTGTCACAGCGTAAATGCCAAACTGCGGAGGTCATAACAATCCTGACTAAGCAATACAAAAAAATACAAAAAACACATGTTGCACCTTTAGATTCAACTTTTTTTCATTTTGTTGACACCATTGCAGTGGTTTCTCATCATTCTCCCAGACCTCTACATGGTCTGTTAAATTAATGAAATAACATCGACCTATAGCGGCAAAACGAAAGTAATTATTATAAATTGTGCTTCCTGAATAGTTCATGTCTAGCGTTTCTCCCATCTCACACATAAATCTTTTACCATGTGCCCATCGTCACATCGACACACCGACGCAGTAAAGCACTTTGAACTGCTTCCTGCACCCAGTCAAGTATTTCCTGTTTTTGTTTCAACACAAAAACCCAGTGGCTTCTCACAAAAGAATCATGCGCACGGTTACCACTTAGACTCTGAATATATAGTACCAACAAATTAGCTAATTGACACAGACGCTTGGATTCTCACCTGGAGTGCAGGGTCGATAGTGACGCAAAAGTGGAAGTAAAGACGACACCAGGACCAATCGGAGGCCGCGGGATTAGAATAATTACTGCATTAGAAATAAGATGCATTATTTCTGGCCATTCAAATAATAATACGACTTTTTACCTTTTCATTTTAAGTTTCAGAATGTGTAAAAATATCTTGAAAATATATGGTTAAATAGTATGAAGGAAAAAAATATATATAGGCTACCACCAGAGGCAGATGTAGATATTTTGTTTTTTACAAATTTGAATATTCCCAGATGCACTCATTTGACCCGAGAATGTGCCCGAACTAATTTATGGGCAACACTTTTGTTTTAAAAAGGCAAAAAACTGCTCCGGGGCATGATTTCTTAGTGGTACAAAGACATCCTACTTTTACAGAACAGACAGGAACTTTTAAACAGAAGGAGTGAGGTACCTGATACTAGTGTGGATGGATCTAAAAACTGCAGTTATTTTTTCTTTCTGAGATGACAAGGTTGTTACTATACACAGCAGAGGACAGCGATGGAAACTCATAATGCAAATATTGTTCGTAAGAAAAAAGTGCAGATCTAATGAAATTCCCTGTGGTCACCCTGTGTTTTGAAACTGGTGAACGTTTGTTGAAAAAGTACAAAAAATTATTGTCTGAGAAACAAAAAGTGTGCTGCTAATGTGGGTTCTGAAAGTCATGAAAAGAGTAATAAAGTTATCACAGAGAATAATTAGACAGTGAGGAATATGGACGGCTGCCACTGTGGAACAAGACTTTTCAATCATGAAGCCAATAATTATAATGCTTCTTTAACTTATTCAAAGCAAGTATCATATCTATAATATTCTATTAACACAGCAGCAACTAATTAGCTGGGTAGGGAAAAACATATGGTCCTGAAACGACAGTGTTAATTATGCCCTGATAAGCTGATGTATTTTTATAGTGCAACACCAGAAGAGAATCCAAGATATCGTAGACGTGTCGGTTTTCAGTCCAACAAGACGCTACAACCCAAACGGGGACGTGTGCAGACTGTAGCTATCGCGGCTTAGTCAAAGTGCGCTGAAGTTTGATCCTTGGTTTGGTTTGGGATCCACCATACAACCAAATACACACATATACACGCCCAGATGCAAGCTAGCAGGCACCTTGCGGTCTTAGCAAAGCCATATCCCCGGCGAAAAATCTGCCACACATAAGCTCTTTATTCCAAGTCGAGTGGTTTTCCCGTCACGTCGAGCTTTGAATGTAAAGCGGCTTAAAGTGGTGGTACTAGAGTCGAATACAACAAATCGCTTAAATACAGAATAGCATCAATGAATTAGGAAATGGAGCATGACAAATTATAATACAAGGACTATTCCAAGAGTAATCATTGATTTAAACATTATCAGACAACACGTTACAATTTGAATGGGCAAAAGCAAGTTCTCCCAATGAAACTGGAATCCAAAACCTGAATAAATTCCCCATGTGTCTTTTATCAAATCAAATAAGCAGCAGTGAATAGCCCACTTGCTAACCCATTGATGCAAACCTCCTTAATATAAAGTGCAGCTAAGTTTCTCCACAATCCACCACTGCTGCAGTCACTTTCCAGACAACCAAAGGCAAAACAAACCAATAACTTATAGATACTTAAATCACCATAAATAAACGTGAACACACAAAGTGGTCGACCCGATTGTGTGCATAACATGACATAAAAGATAACAGCGATAGACGATAGCTGCATTTTGAACTCTTCACATTCTCGATGGCAAAAAGAAAAACCTAATTTTCTCGGCGTTTTACGTATTTAGAACAAAAATTGAAAGGAGTGAGATAGTTGATACTTCAGTAAAGATTAGTGGTTAGAGACAAGAAATCCTAACTATAGTTTAGCCTACCATAGATGTATAGTTACACATCTGTCATAATGAGCACCATAACTATATATATAAAATAATAGCTGTGTTTATCGTTTTGTCCAAACCAGGCGACAAAAAAAAGTTATCATATGGTCAGACACTGTTAACATAATGTCTAAAGGTAATGATTTAGAATATACTTTTCTTCATTTTAGTAGTTATTGCATGTGTTGTCATGACTTCAGATGTCAACCACGTCAAAAAAAAGGCAGTTTGTGGATGAGAACCATATGGAGACAGCTGTCCGGTGATTCGTCCACGGTGGTTTGTAGTCAGGCACAAAACCTTGGCTTGAGTGGACAAAGTGTTGTATTTTCTTGCACACAAAAAAAAAAACGTGAATAGATGTGGAAGTGTGAGATGAACGTGGCGAAACATTTTAAAGGTGCACTGCGTAACTTTTCTGGTGGGGGCTTCTGTGCGAGTTCAGACATATGGATTACCGTGGACTCGGGACTACGATGTCGTAGCTGAATACAGAATCGGCGAAAACATTCAATTCTAAGGTTTAGTTTGCAATAAGTGTGTTTCTAAAAGTAAACTATAACAACAACAACAAACTAATACATAATGATATTTGTCGGCTAGTTTTGATTGGTTATCAGCCAATTTTGACCGCCTGAATCCTTTTTGGAAGATATTTCGATCAACACAATTTTAAAGCTGGGGTCCCTAACTTCCAAACCACAAACGGAACCACGTAATAAAATACATAGAAATAGTTCCTCGATGTCAATACAGTTTTCCTCCATCTCTATGTTTTAAGCATGTATTTCTGACTTCTGTCACAGACTTTTCTGTCAAAAAAGTAAAAGAAAAAAAAAAAAAAGAAAGAAAAGAGGACCAGCTCTCAGCTCAAAACGTCAAATAGTGATTCTTAAAAGTAAGCAAAAGATGTTCTGTAAGAAGGTGATGACATCATGTTGTGGTCTTATTTTACTTTAAGAAGACTCATTCTGTGGGGACCAATGACATGCAATTACTATGACATAAAAAGTTACGTACCCCAGCTTTAATTTTAATACTATTCTCGAAAGCAACGCGTCAAAAGTAACACAGTCAGAGAAGCCGCCAGCACCAGAAATGTGACTCAGTGTGCGCTCCCGGTGTCGTCGTTATCCCGCTCTATGGCATGTTTTGGTAGGTCAAGAGAAAAGATGGCGGGGTCTGGTTGGGTGACCTAAACCTTGCTTTTGAAGTGCGTGGTTGTCGTTACTGCGGGGTCAGAGTCTGGTGCGAGAGCGCGATCAGAGCAGGTCGTCCAGGTTCACGTCCGGCAGAGGTTGTCTCCAGAAGCAGAACGAGCTGAACTCCGGCAGCACGAAGGCCTCGGTCTGTTCTTTGCTGAGCAGAGGAAACACCAGCTCCACCAGCTCACTGAGACGACAATACCTGCACACACACAGAGCAGACACTCGCTGGTCACGGTCTCACTTTCAGTTTATCAATTTATAACAGACATTGTTGACAATTCAAAAACAATTTAAGGCACTTGGGGGAAAAAAGGTGAAAATAAAGTCTGAAATGGGAATAGGCAGAAACTTAAGCTTATAGACGCCTACCGTGTTTAGTATATGTTAAACTTAAATAGTTGCTACAATTAATACATTTACTCCATAATTAAGATTATTTTCTGCACAGCATTCACAATCAACACATACACACAAAAGGACAGTTTACACTTAATTATCTTTGAGCCACATTTAAAGACATTGAGCAGATTGTAAATAATTGTTTAAACATTGTTTCTCTACTGGTCAGGGGTGTTGCATTGTACCTGTATTGTAAATGCTAATGAGGCTGTTTTCTGTATTAATTCTTTGCACACTGTAAACCTGCTGTCACTTTGCTCCAGCTCAGGGACTACAGATGAAAATTAGCTCGTAGCTACATCCGGTCTGTACAGTGCATTAATTCTGCAATGTCCCTGCCAAATAAATGAATAAATAAACATAAATGCATGTGTAATGGGTATTCAAATGAAGACACTTCTTGCACATCATATGTCCTAGAATCATTATCATTTTGTGAAGATCTACAAAAAGGCTTAAAGAGGAGCGTAATAGTTTAAATAATTTCTCGGTAAATTCTTTGTATTATTAAATTGTCATTTGCTAATTGTGACCACAAACATTCAATTAAATTTATTTTTGCATATCCCTAAATCACAGCAGCTGTTTTCTCGAATGACTTTACAACAGCAGGATGACCACTGTTCATAAATGTTAATAAATGTGCATAAAACATACATACTGCGATTTCAATAAGATTCATTTAGAGCCCATTTTCAATTGTTTAAGATAAATCATGACACCCTGTTCACAATTACACTAATCGCGCACAATCTACACTTTGTAACCAAAAGCCCTGGAGTCAGTTTAATAAAACAAATCTCATCTCTGTAATCACAGATGTGGGAAGCAGAGCCTGTGTCTGCGGAGCATTCTGCAAACACAAACATCCTCAATTAGTTCAACAAAAAACGGCATTCATGAAACAATTCATTATTTACCAGAATTGAGTCACATCAGACCTCTGCCAAACAGTTCAGGAAAATGCTTGTTGTTTTAAAGAACTTTTCATAGAATGCTCCAGTCTGTAACCGAGTCTGCAGCAGTCCTCCTCCCAAACCCAACATGCCCTCTTGCCTCATACAGGTCGGGATCACTGGGCATATTCAATTATTAAAAGCAGGTATTTTTTTGAATAAATAAGTTGAAATATTTATCATTGATGGGTTAGCTAAACATGTGGTTGCTCTACATTCATCCACTATTATATGCAGGGGTAGTTTAAGCATGTATAAGTGCTCAAATGTATATAAACACATATGTGTCGCTTGCTCACTTAAAATAAGAGTGGAAACAAGAGTAGAGCCACACACGCTCCTCCGTTTCAGACTCCTGCGCCTCTCTGCTTTGTTAGAATGGTTTATACTTTTATACACCGCTTATACGCTGCAAAAAAGTGATGAAAAGCTCCTCAAATTTAGCAAAATGTATCAGAATTTGAGTACATTCTGACTGCCAACGGGACAAACAAAATGATCTTAAACGAAATGTCTTCCTTGGAATGATAAAAAGTATTTGAGATATGGCTAATAATGGCTAATCCAATCTTGTTTTAAGACAGTCAGAAAGTTCAAATTAAGATACAAAGAGCTTGATTCAGCCATTAAATAGACAATTTTTTCCGACTGGATTGAGTCGTTTTGTGGAGGATTGAAAAGGAGCATTTGGCCATACCTCACTGGAATAACGAAGATTATAACAATCACAGAACAACTGCGTAGTAACCAGAGGTGTGGACTCGAGTCATGTGACTTGGACTCGAGTCAGACTCGAGTCATGATTTTGATGACTTTAGACTCGACTTGACCAAATATAAAAAGACTTGCAACTCGACTTGGACTTTAACATCAATGACTCTGACTTTCACTTGGACTTGCGCCAATTGACTTGTAAAGACTTGCGTAACCCGGGCCATTTTTACCTTTCTCCGCATCTCTCTTTCTATCTATGCCGTCTCTGAAGAAACAAAGCCTCGCGGTAGTTGTAGCGCTCGCGAGAGAGTTTGAACGTGAGTTCCCCGCAGTTCGCGCAGCAACACTTCCCTAAACAAGCGGACTGCATTCACCGGTGGGTGTGTTGTCTAGGGGAGCTGGAAATGAGCGAGCTGCAGGTATGTATCGCGACCTAACGTCATATTTTGTTCTACAAACCGTAATTGATATGCTTTCACTACAGGCGCCTCATACAATTGAATTGACGCAGTTGTCACACTGTGTGCCGTGTTTTAAAGAGGAACTGGTGAGTCAAACTAGCACTAGCCTGCGCTGCTCTGTTAGCTCTTTCTTATATTTTTCTGTGTGGGCGCCGAGGCCTATTATTATGAGTATGTTTTTGCTGTGCTCCTCCTGCTAAAGTTTGCATACATTAGATAGTTGTTTTGATTATGTGCACTAAGCTAGATTAATATTTGCACTATTGTTTATGGTGCATTGATATGAAAATCAGTGCTTTGACTGATTGAATTAATTTATATGAGACATTTTATTATGTAATGATATATTGGTAATTATGAGATATTACTAATGCTGGTCCAGTTCATACAGGCCAGGTTCCTTCCCCTCCATTGGTCATTGGTCCCTTCAGTCCTTTGCCCGAGATTTGTTGGCCTTTGACTTGGACTCGACTCGGGACTTGCCTGTCTTGACTCGTGACTCGACTCGGGACTTGAGGGCAATGAATTGAGACTGACTTGTGACTTGCTAAACAATGACTTTGTCCCACCTCTGGTAGTAACATTGGTCTGATTCACTTTACTGCAGCAGGAGATGGAGAGATGGGGACTTTTTTGGGTGGATTAAAACAAGTCGCTCATTTTGAAAACAAAAAATCCCCATAGAGACTGTTACAAAAAAATATGAAGCACAATCTCCTGGGGGATGACCACATACTGTAGATCTAAATAGGGCCGGCCCCGCTGTTTGAGGAGCTCTGTAAGAAGCAGGATGAGCGGGGAGCAGGGGGGGATAGTGGACTTACGAAGACTTGTTTCCCTTGGTCTGCTCCTGGATCAGCTCTCCTCTGGGGTTCACCGTGAAGATCCTGCACTCTGGGACTCCCACCTCCTTGTACGCAAACACATCCTGAGGAGATAAGTGAGGATTACAATGAGGGTGGAACATATTTATTGTTTAAGTGTCTCTTTAGGAACATAGTACAATACAGACTTGCAAGGAATGTAACTTTAAAATGGACCTAAACCACATAAACTATCAGTAAAAATCAAATCTGAGACACAATATCAGGCTGGATTACTTGGCTTGAATTGATTAATGTTTTTTTTTTTTTTGTTTACATATAGCACATTTTTACAGACCAAGGCCCCCCAAAGCATTTTACAATGTTCAGAGTTCAGATATTGTTCCAATCTCTCCACACAGTGATGACGGAAGAGAGTTGCCGAACACACTGGCGCATCAAAGCCTCCAATCAACACCATCCATTCACTCTCTCATTAAAATTCATACCTATTGTGCATGTTTTTAGTGGTAGGGGAAACCGGAGCACCCAGAAGAAACCTACGCAGACACAGGGAGAACATGCAAACTCTACTCAGCCAAGACAAGTATATTTCCAAGTACGGCATTGCTAATCCAACGCTTCCTTTGAGATCATAAACACAAGTTCACAGCGTCGTCCAGCCAACTTCAGCTCCACCAATATAAACATGTTATACCTCATTGTGAAAGGCCAGAACACCTCTATCATTTTGACTATATCTGCATTTGTTTTGGGGAGTTACACAGAATTCGGTTTATGGAGCTCATGACAAAGTAAACATCAAATGTGAATCAATATGTCAAGCCTCATTATACAGCTCAGAACAGCCCAAATTCTGTCAAATAGTTTTAAAATCCGAGTTGTCAAGCCCTGGAAAAGTCTGGCGGACTAAAGTGGCCTTCTTACTAGAAAGACACCCCAATCTCATTATTATTATTATTGTCAACCAGACCAGTAAGGCTTGGGAGCAAAATCACTATTGTTAATCTGCCTTCTTCCCAAATAAACGGAAAAAACAAGAGGACTTTGTTTTGTTCTTCAAATCGGTCATGGATACAGGAAAAAAATCAATAAAGAAAGAACGTAGAGTGAGCATGTTTTGTGCCAGTGAAATCCCCTAGAAAAAAAGATGTTTTCACCTCGTGTAGAAAGTGATTTCATTTCATAATTTATCCCATTCACAAGCTTTTAAAAGTCACCTAGATATTTGTACTAATTCTTTTTACGACTTGCTCTTCCATTACTTTTGCCACTACCTTTTCCTTTAACTGCTCGGATCTCGAATACACAAAATTGTCTTACGTTTCCGACATAAACTCTCACTATATCATTTACCATCCAGCCTAATGTTTTTATGCAAGTCATTCGAGCTTCTTATGCAACTGGTGGAAAGTAGAAAATGATCACATTACTGACATCAACAGCTAATTTCCTGTTTGTCCCATTAACTAATGCATGAAATGGGAGGACTTGTGGGCTAGACGCTGGACAGTGAATGTGCGTTTTGTTGTAGTGAAACAGAAGAGGACTATGAGGCTGGGTGGTTCTTGTTTGTTCAGCTGACGACGTGACGCTGTGCCCGGTTTGAGATAATCACAAGGGGCCATCCTCCGCCGCTGACCTCAGCCCTGGGTCATCACAACACTGTTATCATGAGTTTGTGTAGGGGCATGGTAAAATAACTGTATCCTGTAGAAAGCTCCGGCGCTTATAGGAAACATGAGGGAGCGTGCATTATCTGTGTCTTAAAAGAGGACATTGTGTTTCCCACCAGGAAGAGAATGTTTGCAGTGCTGTGAAATCTTGTGAGCGAGCATATGACAGTCACATTTATCTACTTACAGGCGGCATATTAAACAGAGCTTCTCCTATTATTGTTTAATTCAACAATAATAGACATTATTCTGATCATATAAAGTTCATAAGAATAATATGTCAGCTCAAACATATAAAGCGTCAAACTATATGTATGTACTATGACTCTGTGGTGGCATCAGCCTCTTGTACGGTGTGGTCTGCTGGAGCAGCAGCATCACAGAGAGAGACAAGAAGAAGCTGGACAAGGTCATCAGGAAGTCCAGCTCAGTCCTGGGCTGTTCCCTGGACACAGTGCAGCAGGTGGGGGACAGGAGGGTCCAGGACAAACTAACATCTATGTGGACCATGACTGTCACGCCCTGCAGGACCTGCTAATGTACAGATGTAAACATACTGCTGCTAATGTACAGATGTAAGCATACTGCTGCTAATGTACAGATGTAAACATACTGCTGCTAATGTACAGATGTAAGCATACTGCTGCTAATGTACAGATGTAAGCATACTGCTGCTAATGTACAGATGTAAACATACTGCTGCTAATGTACAGATGTAAGCATACTGCTGCTAATGTACAGATGTAAGCATACTGCTGCTAATGTACAGATGTAAACATACTGCTGCTAATGTACAGATGTAAACATACTGCTGCTAATGTACAGATGTAAGCATACTGCTGCTAATGTACAGATGTAAGCATACTGCTGCTAATGTACAGATGTAAACATACTGCTGCTAATGTACAGATGTAAACATACTGCTGCTAATGTACAGATGTAAACATACTGCTGATATAATGTACAGATGTAATCATACTGCTGCTAACATGTACAGATGTAAACATACTGCTGATAATGTACAGATGTAAGCATACTGCTGCTAATGTACAGATGTAAGCATACTGCTGCTAATGTACAGATGTAAACATACTGCTGCTAATGTACAGATGTAAACATACTGCTGCTAATGTACAGATGTAAGCATACTGCTGCTAATGTACAGATGTAAACATACTGCTGATATAATGTACAGATGTAAGCATACTGCTGCTAATGTACAGATGTAAACATACTGCTGATATAATGTACAGATGTAAGCATACTGCTGCTAACATGTACAGATGTAAGCATACTGCTGCTAATGTACACATGTAAGCATACTGCTGCTAACATGTACAGATGCTAACATACTGCTGCTAATGTACAGATGTAAACATACTGCTGCTAATGTACAGATGTAAGCATACTGCTGCTAATGTACAGATGTAAACATACTGCTGCTAATGTACAGATGTAAGCATACTGCTGCTAACATGTACAGATGCTAACATACTGCTGCTAATGTACAGATGTAAACATACTGCTGCTAATGTACAGATGTAAACATACTGCTGCTAATGTACAGATGTAAGCATACTGCTGCTAACATGTACAGATGCTAACATACTGCTGCTAATGTACAGATGTAAGCATACTGCTGCTAATGTACAGATGTAAACATACTGCTGCTAAGGTACAGATGTAAACATACTGCTGCTAATGTACAGATGTAAACATACTGCTGCTAATGTACAGATGTAAACATACTGCTGCTAAGGTACAGATGTAAACATACTGCTGATATAATGTACAGATGTAAGCATACTGCTGCTAACATGTACAGATGCTAACATACTGCTGCTAATGTACAGATGTAAACATATTGCTGCTAATGTACAGATGTAAGCATACTGCTGCTAACATGTACAGATGCTAACATACTGCTGCTAATGCACAGATGTAAGCATACTGCTGCTAATGTACAGATGTAAGCATACTGCTGCTAATGTACAGATGTAAACATACTGCTGCTAACATGTACAGATGCTAACATACTGCTGCTAATGCACAGATGTAAACATACTGCTGATAATGCACAGATGTAAACATACTGCTGATAATGTACAGATGTAAGCATACTGCTGCTAATGTACAGATGTAAGCATACTGCTGCTAACATGTACAGATGCTAACATACTGCTGCTAATGCACAGATGTAAGCATACTGCTGCTAATGTACAGATGTAAACATACTGCTGCTAACATGTACAGATGCTAACATACTGCTGATAATGTACAGATGTAAGCATACTGCTGCTAATGTACAGATGTAAACATACTGCTGCTAATGTACAGATGCTAAAATACTGCTGATAACATCTTGTTCACTTGTGCTGTGTGCTCCTCATTCCTACTGTTCTATAACTTGTGATGCAAAACTGTGGGACGAATAAAGGATTTCTAAATGTATATAAATGTGTTTTTTTTTCATCACTTTAACAAAATCCAAAATGTTATTTCAAAAAGCTGAAATGGTAAGGCCTTAGACATTTCATTGTTTGGTTACGGTCTCAGAGCACAAATAAATATTTTATAAAAGATTAACTGGAGGATAAATAAAGATCCAAATTCTTATAATTAAATCATTTTTTATGAAAATAGAACAGGCTCAAAAATTACAGTATGCAAGATTTCGGGTATAAAGTGACTTGTTTTCCAAACCCATCCAGTATTATGGATTATATATGGATTATTTTTGAATGGATATGTGCCAAAACAAACATTCACTATATGTTCTATATATACTGTATAGACTGTTCTTTTGCAAACAGCCACAAAAATCTGCACTGGGAGAGAAATCTGAAATCTTCTAAAATCCTACATAATGCCCTTCAGATATAAGAGATAAGATAAGAGAGATCCTTTAGTCGTCCCACAGTGGGGAAATTTCAATGTTGCAGCGCACATACAGGACAGTAGTAAGAGCACACAGGGAGCACACAAAATATACAATATAAGTAGTAGTTTCTTAGCTAGCTGTAAATGCTTGAAAATCAATCTTTCCAAATCTCTCTATTTATAATTGTAAATCCTATTAAAAGGCCATGTCCTGGTTTAGTGGTCAGAATGACTTCATGCGTTTCATACAGGAGGACTTACGGAAATCATCATCATGAGTAAGACGTCATAGAGGAATCAAATGCACGTAGTCACCGTGTTTATAATAATTCTGATGCAGAGGAGTTTGGTTTCTGAAAGTGCTTGAGTTACAGCCTCTGCATGTGACCTCAGCGAAGGCTCACGCAGCGTAGATATCGTGTGTTTGTTTAGTGCCGTGCTCATATTCTTGTGTGGAGTTACAGTATACCGTCGGAAACTTTGCGACTAGCTCCAGAGGGAAGTGTGTGTGCGAGTGTGTGTGCGTGTGAGTGTGTGTGTGTGCGAGTGTGTGTGTGTTGTCTGGCTCAAACAGTGAAATATCCATTAACTCACATTAATCCTATTCCCAAAAGCGGCGTAGAATGGCTGTTTGTTGTGCTGGAACAGGTTCTTGATGTCCGTAAGGCATTCGATCTTAAAGATTTCAGGCTTCTTCTCAATAACTTCCCTGAAAGGCAAAAAAAATAAAACTTTGATTAGTTGAACCAGGGAAAAGATACAAGTGGATTGTCACAGCCGGTTATTTCAAACGCTTCAGGCTTCCACTTTATTTGCAAATACACATACTGGGTTTTATAAGGGGCTTTTTAACCACTGAGAGGCAAAAAACGGGTAGTTTTTAGTCATTGTTCAGTATTGTCAAAATTTTAGATACAGAAATGACCAGAATTACAATGTTTTAAAGTGGTTATTGATGCAAAAATAAACCAAAACAGCTGTCACTTGCTCTGTGGTTCTCAACTGTGTCTTTCATCCAACAAAATCAATTTTCCTGTTCAAACCCAGTACGGAATTTAGAATGAGATTAAAACAGTAAACCTGTTGTCCCCGTCTACAGAGTAAACCAGGTAATTAAGTATGTCATTTTTATTCATATAAAATCTTTCACAGACAGGCTCACAAACTCCACACAGTGATGGGAGTATTTATTTTTGGATGAGCCTAGTTTAGCCGCTGTGAACTTTAGAATGCACTCGTTAAAGTCCTTCCTCTGGGCCAACATCTTGCAGTTAATTGAATATTGTCACCACTTCTAGACAACTTTATGAGAAAATAATTAAAACAGAGTTGACAAAGAAGATTTTGAATCAATGGCTTGTGCTACCATGGGCACCGAAAGATTAGCGGAACTCGCCCATATTTGGGCATTTCTCTGGTCCTCCCGGTTCTGCGCAGTGGACAACCTCCCATGATGCTTGGGCGAGTTGAGAGTTTGGGGATTTATAGCAATCTGATGGATTTACAAGAAAAAAAGTTCATGATGACAAACGGAAACTAAAATCCCCACAAAATCTGACCTTCATGAAAGCTGTAGGTTCTCTGTCAGCTGAGGTTGAGATGTTTTAGTTTACATTGAGTTCCATGAGACATTTTTCTGGGTTAGTTTGCAGTTTAGTGGAGCAGCTATAAGCTGGTGATACCCCATCCAGATATTATAATAGATCCATGGTCTCAAGCCTAAGGTGTGGATGTGTTTTACCTATGAAAGGCAGAGAAGAGACTGCTGGGCGAGAGCATGAGGGGGCCGCGGGGCAGGATGATGCCGCCGTCATTGACCCACTGCAGATAGCTGCGTGTCATGTCCGCCATGCCGATCGCCCGCGCAGAGCAGTACAAGAACTTGTAGCCGTTTCTGAACACAGACAGGGAGAGCTCGTTAGTGAGCCGTGACCATCAGGACCACCATTAGAGATACTAAGAATAGAAAGTGACAGCTTTGAGAAATACCAGTGAATGCAGTGTTGTTATAATGCTAACATTTCAAACTTGATCCAGTCCTCATATAGACATTAGGTTTACCATTGATAAGTAACTGCAGTTTTATTGTTCAACAAACTATGTATGGTCAGTTAAGGATTTTTCTCATGGTGTAAAAAAATCAATTTAAATTACACAGAGAAGAAAAGCCGAGAAGAGCACGACACACTGAAAAAAATGGCAATGCATTCTCAGTGCCGCTGAGCGTTAAGTCTTTGTACTCAGATGTGATGTCTAACAAAAAAGTGTGCTGCTAATTTATTAAAGAATCTGACGTTATACAAAGGTGATGGACAAAACGTTCAATTGCTCGATGTGCAAAGCTTGTAGAGTCAAACCATAAACCCATTGTCCCATGTAAGAACCGTGTCTTACAAAATCCCCAAAATGAAAATCCTAATGTTTGCGTTTGAAAGCGTGGAAAGGTTTGCAAAAGTTCAAGTTGTAGTACTTAAGCAAATCTGGGAGTAAATTGTTAGCTTACTGTGATGGCAAAGCTCATCATGGCCGTTGAAGGCAGTTTAAAGCAAATATAATTTCTTTGCACTGAATAACTCGGCTCATGTGGGGAATTCATGAGGAAGTGAGAAATATGTTAATAGTCGAGATGTACAAATCTGGTAGTATATAACATTATCCAAAGCTAATTACGCAGTTGATATCTTTAATCGGCAATATTGTCTAAGGCAAAATTAAATCCAATGGCTCTGTAGAAATTACACACTAAACCAACTGTGTAAATTGAAAAACTCCTTTTCTCACACTGTTTCTATCATTAATGATCTATCATGATACTTACTCTGCGACAGAGTGGTAGAGTTTAGCAATGCCATGATGGGTCCAGTCCTTCCCCAGTTGAGGCAAAATCTGTCCAAACACATCAGACCTAAACAAGAAAAAATCACGTCAGAGAGGTCAAAGTCAGTATAATCTAAACTTGTGTTTCTTAAGCATCACCAAGAGGACCACAACAGGGAGCCCACCTAATCTTCATAGTCGTGTAAATCCTATAATGTATGTAGGTTTAAAGAAGGTCACTCTCTCCTCATCAATACTTTTCCTTATAAACAGCAAACGGAGCGGCTGGTTAACGAGGATGCATCAGCATTAAGGGGGGAACTGTCTGCTTATGGCCGGGTGTAAGCGTCATGTTGAAATGCAAATAGCCTCATTATAGCCACTGTGCTCTTCCCCATTACTCAACAAAAGCCACACGTGTCACAGGTTGGCCTACGGGGTCAGGCGGATAACAAGGTCTACAGTCAGCGTGGGCAGCTGTGATGGTGACCGCCTCCTGGCCCAGACACACACCGCACCTTCGCTTTGGCACTAAATGAGAGCCGGCTCATTTTGGGGAATAATTAAAAGCTAATGTAAACAGCGGCACGGTTATTATAGACGTGCAGCTTAACCAGGGGGTAATGAAGAGGCTTTCAAAGACAAGCAAGGTGTTAGAGAAAGGAAATTAGGTGGTTGTTAATGTCATAATCTATGAAATGAATGCATACACACTCCATAATTACAAAGCTTCATTAACTTCTTTGTCTTTGAAGATGGAAAGTTACATAATTGTGCCTTTATCTAACAAAATATCAGGTAAGCTATAGACCAGAGGGTACAATCATTAACATCTTAACCACTTTGTAGATACAGTATATACCAATACAGACTAGGGATGTAAATCGGCGACCGGTTAACCGGTGGTTGACCGTCACAGCGTTAACCGGTCAAAGCTGTCGGTTAAAAAAGAGAAAAAGGGGAGAGGGGAGGTCTCTTAATAACGCTATTTTAAGCCCTATTTGCACGGTGTGACGAGCGGGTCTGTATCTAGCTGTGTGCGCCCATGTATTATAAACTCCGGGACGACTCTCACGCCGCACGAGCCACATATGCACACACGCACGCGCGCACACACACACACACACACACACTTTCCCCCTCTCCATACGTAACATCCACACGCATCATCTCTCCCCTCTGTTACCGTCAAAGTTGCACACTGGCGCGGGTCAGAACTACATTGGAGCTTACATTTACACACACACACATATACATACACACATACATACACACACACATACATACACACACACATACACACACACATACATACACACACACACACATACACACACACATACCGGTCTGTCGCGCTCCTCTGTGTCACGGAGCCCAAAGGATTCGCGCAAATACACGGCTCCAGTCAAACCACATGGAACATGTTTGTGTTTATGGTCCTCGGGATCAGCTCCACACACATCACTTGTATTTAAACTTTTGTGAAGACCTGTGAGACGCGGCTCGTCACTCGCTGCTCTGACCATGTGAACGAGCCGTCGTTTGCTGCTAGAAAGTTTTGGTATTAACCCGCAGCACAGCAGAATGGGAAGATTAAAAAAGCAGTTCTCTGTGCGCAAAGGTGCCGGAGCTGTTGCGGGTTTGGGCGCCGCTGTCTCGGCTCTGATCCAGTAGAACGCAGAGCTGCACTTATGAAAAGTACGCGGCTCGAAATGGCTGTTATTTCAAAGAACGTGGACTATTTTAAACTACGCGGTTAACCGGTTTCAACCGGTTAATGAGGCTCGGTGGTTGGTCATGAAAATTCATAGTTTTTTACATCCCTAATACAGACTCACCCCAATAATGGAGTAAATAATTATAAATATAGATAGTAGTCGAGTTGGAATCATATCAAAGTAGGGAGCACATTACCCCAGTGATAAAGCCGCTGCACTGGATCCCTTTTTCTGCATTCATTTTTTCGCCTTATTGGAATTTAAAAGGTCGTCAAAGACTGGCCTCACATTATCTTTCCAAACATCTTTTGTCGTACATTCAAAGGTACTCTGAGGTTAAATGATCTCTATAGAAGGAACTGCTCTTTCTCAGTTTTAGGGTCAAAGCTTTGGAATGCTCTGCCCTGTATTATAAGCAAATTGATTCAAATGATATTTTTTAATCTGATAACATCTGTTTCCCTGGATTTTAATTCAATGCTGTTTTTGTAGCGCCGGTTTTTATGATTTTGTTTTGTAATCACTGTTATTTTTGTTTTTGCCCTTTGAGTTAGCTGTATTGTTTTAAAAGTACATTTTGAATAAAGTTGGAGTGGGTAATTCATCTATATACACATGCTCAATTAAGAATCCAGTTTTAAATTGGAACTTTGAGGACACCTTGTGGCCCCCAAAAAGAAAAGGTTGGCTCTAAATGCTGTATATATTGTCCAAGCATAAGTATGATTTCTGTGGTATCGACATTGATATTGATTATTTCTAGTGTATTGTGACAACACTATCCTAAAGTGAATTATTCACTTTAAAGTTAAAATCATGTAACCACTATATTTCATTTACTCCATTCTATTTCCATTCTGCAGTAAGAATAGAAAGGTTAATTTAGAAATGATCAAATATGTGGGAGCAGTGAAAGTAGCGCAGTCAGGTGCTTGGGCTGCTGCGTCTGGGGTAGATATATTCTCTCCAGCTGCAGTCTGAGTCACCGCAGCACAAGCACAATTCAGTTTTCTGAATGGACCAGAGATAGCAGAGCATAAGTTAAAACAGGGCTCGATGAAACACTGGGTTAATTTAATACAATTCCAAACCATTCTCCAATTACCCATTGCATTTTGAGATGGATAATGGTAGTTTTGACTGTGCATTATCCAAAGAATGTTTTAACCATTACATATCTTTACTTTTTATTTCATTCACAATTGATTTCACAACATTCTAATATCAAGGCAGAATTTTCACTGTGGTTTGCAGAAATAGGCGGCAAAATATCGAATACCACGCGATTTCCAATATCCTGTTTATTTTTGTCCCGAAATCCAAAACTAGATTAGGTTTTTCACTCTGAATGACAAGTTCACATATGAATTTAACACACCTCATATACATTTCAGAAATTATTTGTTGTTTCTGTATAATTATAAGACTCATTGAAAAAACGCTAAATTCTATGAACACTTTCAATTCATAAAATTCTTTGTGATTATGCACATTTTGAAAATGTCTGCTTGTATAAATTATAAAAAAAGATTATATGAGATAAAGACAAAATATATATTGCGATAGCACGGCCCTTGTCTGCAGTGATGGCCTTGAGCACATACTTGGTGATGGTGCCGTCGATGTCAGAAATGATCACTTTGTCGTCCCAGTTCCACAGGTAGATGGTGCCTTCACAGCGACACGTTCCCTGGTACTGAGTGGTGATGCTGAACGACACCTCGTTTGGACCTTCCCTCAGCTTCAGACCCTCCTAAAAATACAAATCACACTGTAAAATGTCTGCATAAAACATTCTTTAGTTGTAAAGGGGTTCTTCTTTTTCACAATCATATTTTCTAATGTGACAAAATAAGCGTTACAATACATGATTTGTTTATACAGTATGTGAAGTTGTGTGACGCTCACAAACACTACCTTTTGAGATCAGATGGTGAAGGTTGAATCGTGTGTGAGCAGGTTTTCTTCAATGTACCATTCATTCATCATTCTGGGACTCAAAGGAATGCAGAAATAACTGTAGGGCTTTGGAGCCACCTGCTGGCCACTTGATCTAAGTGTAATAGTGCTTTTGTTGTCCAGCAGATGGTGCTCCAGCCTATGAGAAGAATCTATAGCCTGGATGTGGATTACTATACCACACAGTTGTAGTTTTAAATGTGATTAAATCAGTAAAAGTTTATTTCAATATATTTGTCTCAACTGCTGGGGTTTAGGCAGTGACCAAACCTGCTGGATTTCACTAAAGAAACTGGCAACCCAATTCCAGATCCAAGTTTACTTTAGTTTAGTCTTTAGTTGAAAGGGACAGTGCACGGCAACATTAAGTCCTAAGACAGATATGTTCTGCACCTGATTATACCTACAGAGCTTTCCACCTGCAGTGATGCAAATACTGCCTTCTCGCAGGATTCTTGAGACCGATAATATCAAATGTCAACATAAATAATATGATCATCATGTCCATTGTGTTTCAATTGTGAAAACTTTCCCATTAAAAAGACCAAATAGCATTGACCTCATGGATGACAGGACCAAGAACCTTGCGATTTTATGGTATGATGTACGACACTTACGATCTGGTCGGAGGAGAGGCGGAGGGACTTGCGGTACGTGTGCTGGGTGCAGTGGTACGGAGCTTCTCCAGGCTGAAGTCTTTCCTGACACGACGCTGCACTCACTTCCTTCGCCTCTTCGTCACTGGAGGAGTCTCCGACTTTAGCTCTGCAGAAACACAACAACTATCACAGGCTGTACTTTACAACTTAGAGCTACATCCACTATTTATGTTGCAATTTCCTTCTGTCTATCAGCACCTTGCACTTAGTGTAGTAGTTTTTCCCTTTCAGTCATTTAAGTGCTGTTTTAGTTTAACTTACATTAAGGGCATTTTATCCTGAGGCAGCGAGGGTCCCTCTTCCAACATGGATTCTTCCTTGGCTTCAAGTTTTGTCTCCAACTGATTGACAAAGAAAATTATTAAATAAAACATTCATGAATATAAAAACATATCAAAGCTTATCCTAAATTCAATCAATATTTATTTGTAAAGCACTCGTAAAAAAAAAAAAAAGTCAAGGCTTACCAAAGTGCTATACAGACAAGTGACACATTAAAAGTATATAAACAAATTAAACCGAAGACTTGGTGTCTTGATGTTGTAAGCCAAAAATAAAACTTCAAATGTATATACAATCGCGCACCTGCGTAATAAACAACTAATCGAATAATCAAAAAGAATTGCTAGTTACTAGGGATGCACCGATCCAATACTGGTATCGATATCGGCGCCGATACCAGAAAAAATACTGGATCGGATATCTGCGTAGAGAGAGGCGCCGTGCTGCCGATCCATTTTCTTTTCTTTTTTTTTTTTAAATTATATATATTTTTTAATTAGGGCTGTCAAACGATAATTTTTTTTAGTTGATTAATTGCATAGTAATGGTGATTGCATTTTTAACATTCTATTTCAAATCCACTCCAATTGAAGTTAAATGAGGTTGTCAAATGTAATGACACATTGTTATTCATACCAAATGTACTTAAATCTGTTTGACTTGCTCACAACCTTCTTCTTTTGGGTACAACCAACAAGAGCTGTTAATGAAAGGGAAAATGTAGGTACCCCAGCTTTAATTTTGCGAGTTTAGTTGCATTTCAGCGTGTCTCCTCCTTTCCTCCGTGTGTCACACAACATCAGAGAATGGCCCCTGTGCGTGTATATATATGCGTGTATTATATGACGACGTTAGCGCTGTCACCATCACACACATGCACGTGTCCGCGGCATTCTGAGTGATATTATTATAAATGGGCGGGTCATTCGGACATGCGATTGACTGCCAGCCCATTTCAGAACAGGTACTCCCATATTGCCAGCCGTTTCTGATGATTTTTACTGAATTTTCAAAACCCACAGAATATTGTGTACTATGACTATCTGAAATCCAAAACCAGATTCTGAAAGAATGGACTGTTTACTTTCATCAACAAAAATGATTTTGTTTCTAGTTTGTTTCGTTCCCCTGTAATCCCCAGTCGAGTAGAGGTAAGTTTTATTGAAATCACCAGAAAGTGCATCTAGCTGTTTTCAAACCATTCATAGAGCAATGCTGCCATCTGCTGGCTCGATAAAATATTGCCTCAAGCCTTACATATTTGATACAACAGACATCTGGGAACGTGAAAATAGCGGAAAACGCAGTTAATGCGTTAATTATTTTTTAACGCGTTAATGAAAACGGTAATTAACGGTAATTAACGTGAATTAACGCGATAATTTTGACAGCCCTATTTTTAATACATACCAGGTACTGCACAATGTCTTAAAATACATTGTGCATAATGTACATATACGTATAAAATGAATTAATTAAAAGTAATTTATCAGATCTCACATACACGTCACTTCCTCGTGGCGCTCTACAACAACAACAACACAGCATGGAGCGCAGGAAAGAATCAGCGTTGTTCACGCGGCGGTAAACTAGCGAAATACAACACGACTAAGCACCACGAGAAACAGCATGGGGAGTTTTTGCATCGAAAGGAGATTACGTGAAAACAACGAGACACAGATGACACTGACGCAGCGTCACAAAAAGCTTTTCAGCAACAACCCGAAAGTGTTGGAGTTCATCAGTTTGGGCTCGCAGCCCCATAGACCATTTGGTACCCCGGTACATTCCGTCGCCAAATACATATCTGAAATCCAGTTAAAGCTACAGTACTATTATTTATTTACATTTTCATGCAGCGTGTTTTGTTTATTCAAACACAGTTAATATAAGTACATTTATATTCAATAAATGTATAAGGTATAATACAGCAGCTCTTTATAGTTGCATTATTGCACATTTATGTTGAATCCATTTTTATCTGGAAAGTTTAGCGCTTTAGTTCCTCCACTGCTTTTACAGTTACTTGAACAAAGAGTTCAATTATTAAATACATTTTAGCATGATCATTTCCGGTATCGGTCAATATCGGTATCGGCAGAAACCCATAGCTCTGGTATCGGTAGTAAAAAAGCTGGATCGGTGCATCTCTACTAGTTACTGCCCTAATTGAGATATCAGAATTATAATTACAGCGTATGCATATATACCTGTTTGATTGTACTATCCGCCCGTTTTCGCCAGAACCACCAGCGGCCTGACTTCTTTGGCATTTTCTCCTTCATCCAGGCCTCTTCTGTAGCCTAATGTTCACAAAATACGTACATTTAGTTAAATCCATTTAACTAAATGTAAGTTAGATTTTGTTTTTTAATGTTGAGATAACTTATGTACCTTTGGTAAATTCTTCTGAAATGCTTGAAGACTTAAAATTAAGGGCGCAGCAAGGGTCCAGTTGTAATATCTGAAAAGACATTAATTAAACGTGCTAATTTGCACCAACAAAAACATAGAAGTATTTTTATAGCAACTCACCGATTTCCTATCTTGACCACCAGATTGGGGTTATCTATAATTGCTGGGTTTTCAGCAAACTCGTGATAGGTAATGATATGCTCCATGAACCTTTCTGTAATGAGAAAAAAACGGAAAAGTGTTGACATGTGACATGACACCTACATATCCGTTCTACATCACAAATATGTCAATTGTTGTGAAAGTCAAACATGAACTGATCATAGAAACATTTTTGCAAATTGTGATTTTGCTCAAAAACAAACATTATGGAATTAAGGGTGTGCTAACAGCAACAGTAGAATGATTGTATTCAACTGTGGCGGAGCGTTAGAGAAGGAGCCTGCAGCCCTAACTATTTCTAAGCCGAACTTAATTTTTTTTTTTTTGTATCGTTTAGAAAAACATTGTATGAAATCTTATTTGAAAAGCCAAGATAACAAGATGCGTATTATAACAGCTCTGAGAGATACCCAGCCCTGTAATGATTAATGCAGTTTAGTGAGCTTATATGTACACATGTCCCTAAGTGTAATACATTATATACAAAATATGTTTACTTGTGCAAGTGAGTGTATCAGGGGATCAACTATATATTCTCTTCAAAGAGCTGAGTCAAGAAAAAAGGTGTTGTGCTCTTAAAGGACGAGGCCATATAATATTGAAAGAGATGAGAGAGTGAAAATGAAGCTCAAACAGGGCCTAGTGCTGAAACACTAAGGCTTTTCTCGCCCACGTTTCAACACACAACTTTAATTTCACATGATAACTGCACAATTCCAACATCATTAAAAACAACAGCGGGTGAAGTACCTTTGGATATCTCTGAGTTCTCGGTGAGGCCTCCGCACAGCGACAGTGTGACGTCAGGCAAATCTGAGGCCGAGTCCGACAGACACTCGGTCCCACTGTCTGCGGCCGCACTGCCCACAGACTGAGGAGACTGAGACCCGGAGCGCATCTCTGTCTCCATCCAGTGTTTAGTGGCAGCTTCAGACTCGCTGCAAGACAGATGCAGGTAAGATAAGATTAGAGTTCCAGGTGATTGTGACGAGTGAAACACCACGATTCGTTTAGCTTCTTTTAGGTTACCCCTAAATGTAATGTAAGGGGTGATTTTAAAATACAGGTCTCATGTATAATAGAGATGGTGGACTCACCTCTTGGGAAAATATCTCGCAGCAACGTCAGGCTCAAGAACATTCAAGTCATCCAGGTAAATATCCTCAGGGCCCTGGTGCTGGCTCCTTTTTGGGACACCTGTAGAAATGAAATTTTAGCTCAACAACAAGAATGATCAAGATTTTTAAGAAGATTTTTAAGAACAAACACTAAAGGACTACATATTCCACATACACAAAACAAAACAAAGCTTATAATTTAACATTTGCGCTACATTTTTGGATCGGAAATCAAAGATGTGAATGGGAAACACTCACCCTTTTTCTTGGAGGGTGAATCAGTCAGTGGGTTGTGTGAAAGCGTAGCAGTGCCGACACTGGAATGCAGTACATCCAGTGGCTCAGTGGGACTTAGTAGACCCAGAGCCGGGTCGAGATTCGGTGTAGGGTCTAAGGGGCCTAAAGCCTGGACCGGGCAGGTTGAGGGGACAGGCGTGCGTGGCTCTGGTTTGACTAATGTGCACTGTGAAGTAGCAGCAGCATCAATGCTCTTTTCCAGATCAGTGTCGGCCTCCATGGCCTCAGAGCTCAGGATCACGCGAAAGTGCGTGCTTTCTGACGGAGTAATGGTGATCGTTTTGACTTCAGCTTTCTCCTTCTTGGTCAACTAAAGAAATAGACAAAACATAATTACAAATAAGCCTTTATTGGCAAAACATACCCTTGTCCTGAGATTCAAGCTTGATTTGATGTCAACCTTTAATAATTTTAGTGGTACATATATAAACTCAGATGCAAGTTTGCCAGTGTAAAGTAAAGTAAAGTGGTTTAGTTCTAGAGGACATGTGTATATAAAACATGCAAACCCTTGTGTGCAAAATGATTAGCACTACAGACATTTTAATTAACTGTTTTCCTTTTAGCCAGACAATGCTACAGAAATGTATCTCCCATATTTCAGCCCCATCATTACACTGCATTTGACCCATCCTGCAATGCCACTAAACCACCAGGAGCAGTAATCGCCACAGTGCAAGGCCAGGACTACCAGGACTTTGTCAGGACTACCGAAGCTGGAGGATTTGAACAAATGTACATATGTGATGCGATCTGGGAAAACCCATCACATGGTGAAATTTGACCAACTTAAGATTCTGATACCAACTTAAAGCTGCTTTTCAATCTCTTTTTTTTTTCCTTTTTTTCATAGCATGTCTGTAACAAAAGTTATCATTATCTGAAGCCTGCTTATTAACATGGTTTTATGAAACAGAATTCTGAGAAAAACAAGTTTAAAGATAGACATTCTAAATAGAATCACCACAATCAAATATGACATGTTAAATTTGAATTACTCTGTTATGGCACACACTTATTTTAGTCACTAAAGCCCTATTCGGACGGGATTAGTTTTACATGGGGACCCCTGGTAATTTGTGATAATCACGGAGAAGGTCTGAGATCTGACAGTGCATTTGCATGGGATAAGCAATGTCTGTAATTTTCACTGACATCCGACATAACGGCCGCACGTGTGCGGGTCCCTCCACTTCAATCAATCAATCAAATTTTATTTATAAAGCGCTTTTCATACATAAGATGCAACACAAAGTGCTTTACAGTTTGGTTAAAAACAATCCCGCCGACCCAAGACCCCTCCCCCAGACCACCCAACAGACCCACCCCAAACCACAAACAAACACACACACGCGCTCATGAACACTCATACACACACACACACACACACACACACACCAGTAAAACAATAAAAACATGATGAGAGACTTGGCAGGGTTCAGATGCAACCAGCTGAAAAAGCGTCATCCAAGGAGCCGTCTGCACCAGGAGCAGAGAGCCGCCCGTAGCCACAGGGGACGACACAGGACCCAGAGGAGACATGAAACCGAGGCCCCAGGCCCCCACCAGGCCCAAGAGTCCGACCCCCGCAGCCACACCGACCACTGCTCCCGGTGCAGAGGGCTCCTCCAGAGGAAACACTGGGTACACTAAAAACAATACAATAAGTAAAACACTAAAATGTGAGACTAAAAGGAACACACAATACATGAATAATAGCAATAGCAATATAATACATAATAAATAATAAAAGATAAATAGAATGGAATAATAAAAACTAATCAAAAGCTAATCTAAAAAAGTGTGTCTTGAGCCTACTTTTAAAAATATGAACGTTCTCTGCGGCCCTGAGCTCCTCCGGCAGACTGTTCCAGAGACGGGGGCCGTAGTGCTGGAAAGATGCCTCGCCGTGAGTGTGTGTCCTGACTTTGGGGATGGTTAGGAGTCTGCTGCCGGAGGAGCGCAGGGGCCGGGAAGGTTCATAGGATAAAAGCAAATCTGAAAGATAAGAAGGCCCAAGACCATTAAGACATTTAAAAACCATTAAAAGAACCTTAAAATCGATTCTGAAACACACGGGGAGCCAATGCAGCGATTTTAAAACCGGTGTAATGTGGTCCCGCCCCCTGGTCTTAGTCAGGACACGTGCGGCCGAGTTTTGGAGTAATTGAAGACTTGCAATGTTCTTTTTGGGAAGACCAGAGAGCAGGGCATTACAGTAGTCAATGCGACTGGTGATAAAAGCATGCATCAGCGTCTCCGTGTTGCCCCGAGAGAGAATGGGGCGGACTCTGGCGATGTTCTTTAGATGATAAAAACCTATTTTTGTGATACTCTTGATGTGAGGAATAAAAGTCAGCTCAGAGTCAAAGATTACGCCCAGATTTTTCACTTGTGATGATGGTTTAAAAGAGTGTGATTGGAGTTTTGATAAAAGTTTCTCTCTCTGGGCCTCAGGACCGATGACTAAAACCTCAGTTTTGTCCTGGTTAAGCTGGAGAAAGTTTTCTGCCATCCAGGATTTCAGGTCTAAAATGCAGTTAAAAAGAGCATCCATTGGCCTGGTGTCGTCAGGAGACATGGAGATGTACAGCTGTGTATCATCTGCATAACTGTGGAAGTTAATTCCATGTCTCCTGATGACACCGCCAAGAGGGAGCATGTACAGGTTAAAAAGGACTGGACCTAAAATGGAACCCTGGGGCACACCACATGTGATCTTATGGACCTGAGAGGAGCAGGTATCCAAACTTACCATGAAGGATCTGTCTGTTAAATAAGAAGTAAACCATTTGTGGACAGCACCAGAGAGGCCGAGGTGTTGTAGGCGTGATAAAAGAATTGTGTGGTCTACTGTGTCGAAGGCAGCGCTTAGATCCAGTAGAACCAACACAGTCACCTTTTTGAAATCATAACTTAGTCTAAAATCGTTTAAAATCTTTAAAAGAGCAGTTTCTGTGCTGTGGTTCACCCTAAAACCTGATTGAAATTTCTCTAAAATTTGCTGCTGATCTAAAAAGGCATTGAGCTGGGTAAAAACAAGTTTTTCTAAAATTTTGCTTAAAAATGGTAAGTTGGATACCGGTCTGTAGTTGTTAAAATCATTAAAATCTAAATTGCTCTTCTTCAGAAGGGGTCTCACCACAGCCGCTTTGAAGGCTGCAGGAAAGACCCCAGTCTGAAGAGAGCAATTCATCAGGTTTAAAAGCTCCTCTCTAAAAGATTCATAAAATGACTTAAAAAAATGAGTGGGGACTGGATCTAAAAGACATGTGGTGGGCCTCACTGAGGAGAAAACTTTATCAAGCATCTCAGCATCAACCAGGACAAAACTGTCCAGTGTTTCCTCTGGTGAAGACAAACAATCAGATGTGTTAAAAACAGTAGTGCGGTTGGATAAAATGTTACATCTGATTGTATTTATCTTCCCCGTGAAGTGGACTGCAAAATCCTCACAGAGGGAGTCTGTGGGGGTTAAACAAGACATGCTAAAATCAGGGTTTAAAATGGTGTCGATGGTTGAAAAAAGGATTTTTGGATTATTTTTGTTCTGGCTGATTAGATTTGCAAAGTATTTGTTCTTATGATTTCTAATTGTGTAATTGTATGCTTTTTGATTGTTTTTATATATTTCGTAGTTGATTGTTGTTTTATTTTTCCTCCATCTTCGTTCTGCCACCCTGCACTCTTGTTTCATTTTGCGTACTTCTTCATTTCTCCATGGGGGTGCAGATTTTGTTTTTATGATTTTTGTTTTTAAAGGAGCCACGTGATCCAACGCAGAACTAAGTCTACTGTTAAAATCATTTGCTATAAAATCACAGGGGGCAGGTAAAACCAAGTGGGGAGTGTTGTTTAGGATGTCGATAAAATTTGCAGCCACTTCAGGGGTTAGATGTCGCTTCCTCACGGTTCTCACAGAGGTAGAGCCCTGCACGGGCCTATTATCTGGGCCCGAGCCCGGCCCTGGCCCGAGGGGGTGGCGCCCCAGCCCGGCCCGGCCCGATATGGTTTCTGAATTTTCAGGCCCGAAACCCGCATCAAGCCCGCCTTTTTTTTTTTTTTTGTAACCTCCCATAACAATGTTTTAGCGTAGTATATAGTGCCGCGCACTGATATGAACGCAGACTTAGCTAGAGGGCGGAGTTATACATGGTAGTGATGTGTTGCAATGAGTTCTGTGTGTGCGGAGTGGTGCAGAGTGAACGGCCGCATCTGTATGATGCCCCCGATGCTGCAACACATCTGCACATTACATAAGTAATGCTATGTGCCGTCAATGACAACACTACACAGAACAACAAACACTACAGCGTGATAGAACGCTATATTCAGTGGGTGCGCTCGTAAATCTATTCTGCCGCTCTGAAAATGAAGAGCCCGAGCCCGGCCCGTGTCCGAGGTCATTATGCGGTCATCGGCCCGAAGCCCGGCCCTCGGGCTGTCGGGCCGTCGGGGCCCTCGGGCCAAGGGCTCAAGTGCAGGGCTCTACACAGAGGTCTCACGCTGTATAAAACCAGTGATGTTAAAAAACACACAGTAGTGGTCCGAGACAGCCAAGTCGACAACAGAGGACACATCCGCAGTCAGGCCATAGGTAATGACCAGGTCGAGGGTGCGTCCCCTGTTGTGTGTTGGCTGTCTGACGTGTTGGGTAAAATCCATGTAATTAAGAACATCTAAGAAATCTAGGGTAAAATTGTCAGAGGGATTGTCAATGTGTATGTTAAAATCACCGGTTAAAATTATCATATTGTAACTTCACGCATCATCATACTTCATAAAGACTGGCTTCTGACCACAGCAGTCACAGGTACCATGAGAACAAACATATACATGTGGATTCTACTGCTCTACAGTTCTCTGGCCTGTACTTTCTGTAATGTTTAAACAATACTTTTTGTACGCTCCACACACTTTGCTAACATATGCGCGAGCTGACAAATAGTAACGGCTACAGCAACACGTATGTACTGTAGTAGGACAGAGTGCAAATTAAAGTGATTGTCTGGAGTTTGTCAGAAAGAGAGACAGAGAGGTACTTGATTTGAAAAAAAAAACGACGCAAGCTCCCTCCCCCTTCCTTTCTGATTGGTCTACACCTACGTTTCCGTAACACTTTGAAATGTTAATCAGAGAACACATTATACATTATTAATACACATGCAGGGAGGTTTTCAGAATTATTTGTGAACGTTTTAATGAAAAAAATAATGTTTTTATGCACAAAAAAAGCGATCGCGGCAAACCAGGAAGTGCTATTATTATGAATTGCACATTATAGGACACATCTGCAGAGGATCTGATTATGGATATAGGTTCAGTATATAAATGATTATGGATATAGGTTCAGTATATAAATGATTATGGATATAGGTTCAGTATATAAATGATTATGGATATAGGTTCAGTATATAAATGATTATGGATATAGGTTCAGTATATAAATGATTATGGATATAGGTTCAGTATATAAATGATTATGGATATAGGTTCAGTATATAAATAAGTAACTCAGCGCAGATGTTCAGAATTCTTTGTTCAGTTTTCATGAAGTTCCAGAGCCTAATAGAGGCTTGATTCGGAGGCTCCGCGAAAACAAACAACTGAGCATGTGCGCAGCTACGAGCATCAGCGCCGATGATTGACAGCCCTTGGCATGACTCGATTGGTTAACCTCGACGGCACCGTGGATTCTGAACTATAGCTAAGAGAAGGGAAGGCGGGACTTGCCCGTAATATTAGAATTAATAAAATGACATATTTTATAATCAACATTTAAGGCCAGGAGGTCAATTTAACACATTTTCTATCATTTGTAATTCATTTAGAGTTACAGCGTATCACTTTAAACGTACGAACGCAACCCATCAGTCTGATCATTTTGTGTCCGTGAACACAGTACACTGTCCTCTACACTTCTCCATAGACCTCACAGAGACAGCAGCAGCCGCGACTCTGCAGATGTGTACACAGCCGCGGTCCATGACTCCTCTGCTCATGGACAAATACAACGCAAAAAGTAAAGAGAAAGGGACCATAGTGATCACAATCACTGACATGCAGATTCGCACGGGATTAGTATTATCACAGGACGTCTGTGTTTGGACAAATACGGGAGGTCATTTGTGGCAGAATTATTACTTAAAAAATTACAGACATGACGCATTCGCACGGGACTAATATCTCAGACGTCCTCTGCGATTATCACAAATTACCAGTGGCCCCATGTAAAACTAATCCCGTCCGAATAGGGCTTATGTTGTAAAAGATTTTAAAAAATGTTACTTTGGCACCAAGCAAACACACAACACTCATTAGATATCTATGGTCCGCGCTCGGAGCCCTGGCGGCAGTGCGTTCACTGAGCTGTTGCCAATGCGGCTGTCACAAAGCGGCCGCAGCTGCTCCCGGGGTCAGAGCGGAGGATGTAACATTAAAATTATTGATCTTTCTGCTCAATATTCAATTTTCTAAACTATTTTTTATTTGTTTTCCTCAATACGTATTATAAAAGCCTTGTACAGACTCTGCTGATATTGCAAGTATACATAACTCATGTGCTGCTGGAACTCTCACAATATCCTTCATTCGATTTCACAATTTTCACAAATTAGATTTTTTCAAAAGTCGATTAATTGCCTAAATTTGATTTATTGCCCAGCCCCAAAGTATGATATGTCCACAGAATACTGTACTGTTCTTTGAGTTTGAAAGTCCAGTTGTTATAAGTAATAAACATACCCTGGTTGTCTCAGGGAACTCTCCCCAGGTCCACTGGATGTGTGACTCTGCCCGGAGAAAGCTCTCGGAGGGTCGAACAACGAGCTCCGAGTCACTTTTAGGAGAAAAGGCCTCGGACAAACCGTGACTGCAAAAAGGGATCCGTGTAAGACATATACAATAACATGAGCACAAACTGTACAAAATAAAAATACACTTTATAATAACAGGCACATACAAAGTAAGTGTGATAGTATTCATGTGACAGTGTACCTGTCGTCTGCGGGCCAGTCCCCGTCTGAAACCGGATAGTCCAGACTGTGTCTCGGCGGGGACGGTTTGTACTCTGTGTCTTTTATTGTGGTCACAGAAGGAGACCTACACAAGAGGAATAACAACAATTACTAAACATCTTCAAATGCCTTTCCTGGTAACAAATGAAAAGCTCAGAAAAAATATTGAGACAGTAAATTTTAAATGTACATATAAACAATATTGGCTTATTCTAATGTAAAACTAAAGGTTTATTTATCAAACTCAGCAGTAGGGATGCAGTATACAGTGTGCAGACTTGTATTACATATTTAATTTGTTTCAAAGGCTACAGTTTCTGAAAGCTGATCTGGGCTGATGCCAAATCTGGGTTTTTCCTTCACTCGTGTGTGTTCTCACATTACCACTTACACTGCTATTACCCAAAGCATTAGAGCAACTTTGTCCTGTCGGGCCGATTGATAGAGCAATTAGGCTGCATCGATTATGTGCCATGTCGATACCCCACATACAACCCACAGCAATACATCTTGAACTTCAACAGTTCTTCCCACAAAAGAAACATTTAAATCTGAATATTCTGTGTCTTAACAGTAACTAGTGATAAACTCATCCCGGTAAAACGTGAGGCACAATATAATATATAGCTACACAGAAAAAAAACAACGACAAAACATGTGAAAGAGGGAGAGTGATGCCGTCAGCGAGAGCGTGTGTTGCATGAGTGAGATGGTCCAAAAAAAATAAAGAGTCTGCTTTGTCCAACCCCTTTTCAAATGGTTTTTTGTGTATTCTATATTATATACAAATTATCTGCAACCACAGAAAATAGCAGTAATTAGCATTAAGGGATCAATATTAATGTCATCGTCTGTACAGCAAGTACTGAGCGTTGCTGCCATACATCATTTGTCGAATTATAAGTTTATGGTAAAAACATAGTGACAGAGCTTTGAATAGGTTACATTGGCATAACGCTGTATCAATTCTAACACCTAAAATGTCACGCCCCATCACTCTGTAGCTCACCTGGAGACGTGATTGAGGGTGTCCTCGTCCGAGCTCAACTCCATCTCAAATATCTCCTCGTTGGTGGACGTAGCAGCAGTTGAGTTGTTGGTAGCGTTAGCATTAGCAGCAGACATGGGCGGGGTCAGCTCCTCTCTGCGCGGGTCCCCCTTGTGCTTCTTCCTCCTCCGCCTCTTCTTCTTGGTGCTCACAGTGCTGGAGGTGGAGGGTTCGGGGGGGTCGTCCGGGTCTCCCTGGTCATCCTCCAGGTCTTTAGGGGTGCGCTGTTCCACCTCCGAGATCCAGAAAAGGTGGCTCTCGGTGGGGATCGGTGAGGTGGCGAGGTGTGCCGGGATCGCCTGCTGGAGAGACGTTTTGGAGCAAAGGTTTAGACACTCGCTAATACATACTGCCCTGCACAAATATAATGTGAGAGTTAAGACAATTAAGTCAGTTTGAGCTGTTGTGTTGTGCTCTACACACATTCAAAAAAGATTAAAGGATCTCTTCATCTTAATCTTACATAAATATGAAAATGGTAGCACCAATGGCGATTACATAACTATACTGGATTTTTTTTTGGAATCCCCACAGACAGATATCCTCTGTGTGATGCTGATTGTGTGGTTGCATGACGTGTAGACTGTATGAGTACATTAAAAAACTCTAGATAGAATAATGTTAAATAAGACTATGTTTCTTTATATCCTAAAAAAGTGACCTTAATCAGTCATAGGGGATGTTTGCAGATCGGCAAGTCTGTATCAGGCATAACCAACCTAGGTTAGGGAATCTCAAATTACATGCCAGTCCAAAAATAGTCCACATGTGATAATGCATTGACTGGAATTATGATTGTTTTCAGGAGGAGAGAGATGATATAAAAGTAAACAGATGATTTTAATTGTAATATGATGTTTGTAATGTATTATTAAAGACCTTATGACGGGTTTGATTTATTTAGAAATACAGTTTTAATACCATTTTATATTAGAAGAGAACTACTAAAGGTTTCAAAATCAGTTGTTGTTTTTTTTGTCTGATCCCCCCAAATCGAAATAACCCCATGGCAACCCCATGGCAACGCCCTTAGAGACGAAAAAACTTCACAGCCCTTGGTGACGTCAGAACGGGTACGTTTCAACGCTGCAAGTTGTTTACAATTTGGTATTCGTTCTTTTTTCGCGGATATTCAAGATGACAAGGCCGTGTACAGCGAGTCCGACATAAATACTAGATTGTAACTCTTCGTTGTCACTGAGATAGTCCAGTGGTTGTGTTGATGGACTACCAATCCAGATACTGGGGTTCAAATCCCACCTCAGACACTTTTTTCACTCTCAAACGGCAATTTATGTGTAGTGAGCAATTGTCACCTGTAGAGTGCAGTATTGTGTTGGGCATCAGTGGAGAGAAGAGAGAAAAGGCAGTCCTGTGGCATAGATCCATGGTTTTCAATGCATGGGCGTAACCCGCTATGACGTCACACACAGGTTAGAGCATAGACAGCTTAAATTCATGAAAAACACGTTCTTTTTATAAAATATAGGATATTTTTTTGCCGGAATCTCTTTCAGATTGACATTGTCATGCAATTTTTATATCCACATTTTTTTTTTTAAACCCGGCATAAGGTCTTTAAGCTCCAGATTATTCATCCACTTTCTAGACAATGCCTTTAAGTGCGAGAGATTATGTTCTCGATTGCCTTCACAAAACACTAACACAACACAGAGGCTGTTGTGAATGAGGTCATGTGACACAAAAACATGACTCAGAATCAGCTGTCACACAGTCACATTGAGTAACGGCACAAGCTGAAGTCATTACAAGTGTTTCCATCAGCCGAATACATTTGGAAACACTGGGGAACTCTGGCTGCATGTGTCGCTCGGAGGTCCTAATGTGACTCCACCATGTTACACAAACCTGCTTTACATTTACCCCTCCCTCAGTGGCAGAATCATAAATTATGTTTCTGCTGTAAGAGCAAAGCCGCAAGTGTTTTCATTTCTAGTCTTAGCTTGCGGTGACACATATGGCAGTGTGGTATTTCATGTTGTTATGTAGTTTTGTAATTGGTTTGTTGAGAATTTGTGACATTGGTTAAAGAATATAATAGATTTGCATTCACAATAAGCATCTTAAATACTATAACAGTTTCTCCCATTATTGTTTGTTTATGCAAAGAAAATGAGAACATCCAGTGGAGTTTTACTTATTTCCTTATAATGGTATTATAATGGCAAATGTATTAATGCACGCAAACGATCTACTACTATATCTTTAAGTCAAAGTCTTGCTTACATTTTGCTGCTCGGTCTCCTGGACAAAAAAGGCCTCTCCGTTATCCCCCAATTTCATTTGAAGGTCAACAGGCTCACCGTTTATTTCAATGTCAATCTGAAACAACACAAAAACACTTCAATAATAGCGGAACTGTACAATCAAACATCTGACATTCACAATGTGTTATTGGAAGTCCACAAAGCATCATAATGACGACTTTGATGTGATTTTGTTTTGTATTCTCTGGAGGTCAATGGGAGTCCTTTCATCCCACACTAGGCCTCAGAAACATGTTAATTGTCTGGGTGGTGTCAGGTTGCACTGGTTTTGCCAAACACACAGACTCCTCATTCACGAAACATGACACCACAACGGAAACCAGGAACTGGACAGGCCCAGGAAAGACTAAATGTATGAGTATTACTGGACACTGACTGTTCATATTTTTCTTGTGGGTTTTTTTGGGGACATAATTTGCAGATTCAATATTTGAGCAAAAGTTATAATTATTTCTTCCCCATTTACAAGTCTCTCCATGGACCTTACACCAAAGTACAGCAGTTAGTGCGATATGAACCAACTCTGACTCTGGAGCACAGGGACCCGCCTCCTGCTGGGGCTTGGAGGAGCACAGGGATTCTTGCAGCTTAAATCTGGAACAGTCTTCCTGAAAATGTAAGAAAGGAGTCTACTTTGACAATGTTCAAACCTGCACTATAAACAGTACTGATAATCTGTATATGCAACGTAAGGACTAGGTTCGCTGTTCTTTAGAAATCCAATAATTCAAGTTTATTTTGTGTGCTTATTTATGATTTGACCTTCACCTTGAATGTTTCTCTTGTTTTGTAAGACACTTTGAGTTGTTCAGTGTTTGGATCTGTTTAAGCAACTATGGTTAAAGTTGAACTCATCATTCTAATAACACTATGCAGGAGCTGGTGATTTTCCACTTGAATGTTTTGGTTATCTGAAGGCCGAAGCTACTGGCACCGTGGCAGCTGCTGATTGGGTTCCTCCATGGTATAAACGCACATGCACGCTGTAAAACTCTGGTCGTGTCTCTTTGTAACATCCATAAAATGTCTTCCGTGGCTGTACACGATCCCAGACCCCCGCCTCGTTTGTCATTCTCTTCATGTGTATGAATTATGCTAAATCCAATCAACTTTTTTAGAACGATGAAATAACGTTGCCACTGTAGGTCCTTTTTCGCCTTCAATACCTGCCCACTGCTGTTTCGGCTCATTTTGACCACTTTTAACATGGAACAGCCCAAACATGAACATACGGTATGTAATATACGTACACACCGCTTTAGTTCTTACCTGCCTGCTTTCTAAAAGACTCCACACACCATTACAGCTGAGAAACATTCATAAGACAACATTACACAACGCTCTGACACTTATTAATACACTCAAACAGCCCCTCCTCCTACACTCGATTGTGAAGCAGTTACCACGGAAACCACTCATTCATGCCTTTGCTCGACCACATTGACATTCGGTGGGTGTAGTGAGAAAGTGCGACAGCCTCCGACGGCGAGTTTATCTGCAATTCATCACCGCTAACAAGTAACAACAAGAGGTACGTAACACTGTGCGCAATACTGTGCCAGGGGAAATATCATTTCTGGAGGCTACACATAAAACAAATAAATAAATAATTGTATTTAGTTTTTGTCAGTGCAGCACACAACATGACTGTTGTTTCTTGTTTTTTGTTTTAAACATTTTCAAATGCTATTTTTGGGAGCAATTCGGGAGATTTGCATTGTTGTATCATTACCATTTGGTACTGACCTGCCTTTTGTGGTCCAATACCCGCTTCTATGATAGATATGTATTTGTTTTGCCTGAAATGACCTTGTTTTTCTACATGTACATTCCTCAATTACAGATGATTTCAGAGCTGTTTTTCTTACAGTGATAAGGAGGGTCAAAGGACAGTGATGATCCAGGACATTTATGGACTTTTATTTACATTTATGGACATTGGTCACCCGGTTTCCTATGGACCAATGCCTCCCATGTGTTTGTTTTTATTGCATTTCCTGTGTTCAATCATATCAAACTTTGATTCTCTGATCTGTTGTTGGCAAATCGCCCACTTTGTAAAGTTCTCAGGGACTACTGCTGTTGTGATTTAGGGCTATACAAAAACAATTTGAATTTACTTGAATTGAAGTGAATTGAATAGAAGGCTCGCCTCTCCACAGATACAATTTATAACTTGAGTGAAGTGTCATGCATGATTCCAATGTAAAAGCAAAGAAGGGCCAGCTGTATCAATATCAAGGTAAAACAAGAACATTTTGATGAACCCAAACAAAAAGGAGGCTCACCACCAGGACAATGGAGGAGTGCACTTTAAAATCTTTCAACCGCTTGTAAATCTTGGGCTCATACACGGTTCACTGAACGTCTGGATTTCCACATATAGCAGATATCACAAGCTAATCATTGTAAAGTAAACAAAAACACTACAGTTCGTCCAACCATCCCATATCTACAAACACAATCATTATGTTTCCAGGTAAAACATTCACTTTGTGATTCTATATTTATGTTTCTTTCTACCAGCAGTCTGTATTTTCCTCCAGCAGTGACTAAAAATAGCTCTGTGTTTCTCTACTGTGATTAATGGGACTTATCTGGGAGGCAAGAATGTACAGTAACTACAACAGGGAAAATTGTGGCATCCACCATCTGTGCTACAGTGACGCGATTCAGGCTTGGATTAATTAAAACTAAATGAACATGGGAGAATCAGAGCTAGGACAGGATATTGTTTTCAATGGGTGTTTTAAGAATTAATGTGTTGTTCATTGCACTGGAGGCTTCTTGGGAAAGACTTCAGCTGACAAAAAACACACAAATACTTACACAATGATGATAAGCTCGTCATTGAATGAGGTCGTGTAAATAGTTACATACGTTTCCAGAATTTTCTAGGAATGCCATCAATGTGGGTCACAAGTGGGGCATAAAGTATAGTAAACACATTATAAGACCCACATCAACTTTAATTCAAAATCAAATTAAACCTATTCACAAATAGTTCTGATATAATAACGTAATAAGCAACAGTACAAGTGAGAGCCTGCTCTGTGTGTACCCCTAACCTGAACCCAGTGACTGAAAGCACACATTTAAGACGATCCCAGAAACCCTGTTTACCAAGACCAAATTGGATTTCCTACTCAATCTGTGTTTTTTTTAGTTCATGTGACATCATAACATTTCAAAAAGAAAAGAGTTTCAAATTGTGGTGGAAGACAGCATAAAAATACCTTTCCTGGTAAATGTCAAAAGGATTGGATTTCTAGTCTAGTTTTAAGATAATGTCTCTGTAATTCCTGGACCAATCCATATACAACAAACAAATACTGTTCAACATTTAATTTGTCGCTGTTTTCTGGAGACAATAATGAAATAAACATACAGGATTTCAGCTGGCTAACATGATGCTGCAATAGATGGGACTTTCAGACAAAAATTTGGCGGTTTTGCAAATCCAATCACTATCCAATAAATTATCAAGAAAAATATTTGGACATTCTTTTTTTTCAACATTTCTTTCAAAAGGCACCTGCCCTCCAACTGAAATAGAATTCTACAACATTAATGCAACCTATAGTGAGGTTATGGAAGTTGCATGTTTAAAAGTGAATTGGCCAAAAGCAACTTATCAGTTATTGAAATAGTTGACTAATTTAGTAATTGATAAATCTTTTTGTAACCTTCCTCAGAGTTACTAAGGGTTGTATGATTAAAGAAAGTATCAATATTATCTTATCATTATTCTTATGTTCAGACTGTTGCTACATTATTATTTTAATTTTTATTGTGAAATACTATGTGAGCTACTGTGACAACGCAATTTCCCTTGTGGTTCAATAAAGTCTGTCTATGTCTAAATCAAACAACCCAATGAGTAACAAGTTATTTTCTACAATTCTCCAGGGGCATCACTTTGTTTTTTTCATCAAATGTTTACAAAATCCCATATTTCACGGATCCAAACTACTTTTCATTATCAAAAGTTGAGTTTCATACAGATGAGCTTCATACAGATAATACATTGCATCTTCCACTCACCACTTTCTCTTTGGAGCGCAGCACTCCCAGTTTGCCGAAGCGCACATGGAAGGGGGAGCACTGGTAGGTGCCGTCCCTCTGGCGGACCACCACCACGTCAATGCAGCCTGACAGAGTGGCCTGGTTTATGTCCTTGTACAGCTGCTTCACCGTGACCAGCACGTGCCCTGCCAGCTGCCCCACGTAGTTCATGGTGTCCGTCTGGAAAAGTCAATGAAGAACAACAGTGAGTGAAAAGTGATTGCGAGGTCGGCTGGACGCTCTCGTTTGTCCAATTACCTTGAGGCACAACTGATGGACAAAGAAGGCATTGACAGATTTTTGTTTCAAAAGAAGAAATTGATAAAAGAGGATTAAAAGTTTCAACCAGGTTTAGGATTGTCAAAATTCTGATTTAAAAAAATCCAAAGCCAAAATTTCTGCGCAGTGTCTGATCTCCTATGATTCGTAGGTTCTCTGTCGGCTGAGGTCGAGCCGTTTTAGTTTACATTGAGTTCTATGGGGAACATTTCTGGGGGGCCCACGTGAATTATTTTCCGATAATGACCTGTAGGCTATACATTATCCCGCTTATTATACTGCTTTGTACCAACTTAACACACAAAATAAACTTCAGATCACTTTTATGAATGCCAAAAGTTTATTTAATGACAACAAATAAAGTAGTCCCAAAAAGTTTTCCCGTTGCTCGGCAACCGCGGGCAACAGTTAGGCTGGCAACTTCCAAACTAGAACTCTCTGGAACTGCATGAAAACTGAACAAAGAATTCTGAACATCAGCGGTGAGTGACCCATACATAAACCTAACCTAAATCCATAATTCGATCCTCTGCAAATGTGTCCGAAAATGTGCCGGTATCTTAAAATGTGCCGGTATCTACTTCCGGGTTTTTCGGGATCGCCTTTTCTCGCATTACATCAGTGTTTTTGTCATGAAAACGTAAACGGAAAATTCTGAAAACTTCCGTGCACTTGTATTAAGACTGGATATGTATAAATTACTCTCCGATTAACATTTCATTGCGTTGATTGATTGGCATTTGCGTTTATTGAGCGGCCAGAACTACTTCCGGGTTTTTCACGATCGCTTTTTGACGCAGAGAAATAGTATTTTTGTCATAAAGACAAGACCAGAAAATTCTGAAAATTTCCGTGCACGTGTGTGAAGAATGTATATGTATAAGTATTCTCCGATTAACATTTAAGTGTGTTGATTGAGCGTGGCTAGCTCCGGAGTGGCCGGAACTACTTGCGGAGTTATCCACGCATTTGAAAGACAAGCAGAGAGTGCGTTGCCATGGGCAGCGGTCATTATTGTTTTGAGAGGTCCGTTATAGAAAATAATGACCGGTAGAACGTTTTGAAATTACATTCAAATCAATGGAGCGTTCTCCTGCTGCTGTGAGGAGCTGTATAATAAACACAGATAACTTTGGTCTTGTTCGTTGACAGAAGCTTGATAACATCCATTTCGGCATTTCGCACTTGACAAACCAGTAGTCTCTTTCGCAGAGAGCTAGCCAGCAACAGGCTAACAGGCAGAAAAAACCAAACAGTTGGGGGAGGCAAAAGCTGTTTATGTAGTTTTTCTAACGCTATTAACAGTGGCCACAGCTAGAAAAAAAGTAAAGTTGGTCACACAAATTAATCTAGCAACATTGATATTGCGTTTACGTGTAAAAAAAACAAATGAAATAACAACATTTTAATAAAGATTTTGTTCACTACCATCTTTTGTCCTGCCATCGTCCTGGAGGAGAGGTTCGGCTTTAAAACCTTTACTGCAATCCTTTCAAATGCCCCAAAGCCAGTTCCAAATCTTTCTAAGAAAACCACATACATTTTTTTTTAAAGATAAGAACAAGATTACCTCCAGCCTCTGAAGTCTCGGATCAAGCCTACACAGGTCTGTCCCAGTGCAGCCCCTTCACAGAAACATGCAGGTCTACAGACTGTGGCACAAACAGAGAAGATTTCCCATAACCTCCCACCCTGAACCCAGCGAGTGATCACCTCCTGTTTACCACCGCTCCAAATGCATAACTGATGTCTGCTTTTCCACATGTTTTTCCCCTTCGCAATCACAAATACCATCTCTATCTGCTTTTAATTTGTGTAACCACATTATTCATGCAACATTAATTGGCAAACAAGTTGACTTTGGTCTGAGCACAAGAGTTGGTAAACAAACTCAGCTGTTTCCAATGCAGCCTTATGTAACCTGCGCAATCACACTGACCTTTTGTTCACACAGCCATGCTGGGCCCAAACGCACAGTCAAAATATAAAAGGGCACATTGGGACGGATGCAGTATTTGATAAATCGACTGCTTTTCTGATAACCGTCTCAAGCTATAGGGACTGATTCATAAACAGTGAAGCTCTCGAGGATCTATTTATTCATGTTATAGTTTAATAATAATAATAATATTACACCTTACATTTCCAGGAAACCTCAAAGTGCCACAAGAGGTTACCCATATGGGACCCATAGGTCTTAGATCAGGAGTCTCCAACCTTTATCACCCGGAAAGCTACTGTCTTGAGACAAAATGACAGAGAGCTTCTCCTTTAGCAGTCCTTGTCGGTAAATACACTGGTGATAGCGAGCCTGAGATTAGGTACTGTCACCATCAACCTTTTTCATTTATCATCACATATTTGTTTCTAGCGCACAGTACGTTTGCATTTACAATAGTTGTGAGAATGAACTATTCAGTGTATTGTTTGTTAATTTCTGAGTCAGGATAGTGTAAAAATTCAATTGAATTAGATTTAAAACATAATAGAATTGCATGAATATGCTCATAATTCATAATCATATTTTTGTAAAAGAAAAGCAATCTCAACAGGGACCTTTCATATACTACAGATATAACTAATCCTACCAACAATTCTCAAAATGAAGCTAAAATAGAAAGAATAGAATAGAAAGAGTTTCTTTGCTGATAAACACGCCTTTACCTCACAGGACCCTTCCGTTCAAAGTCCTGTTTTACAGCCGCCTTAGTGTCATTCACAGCCAGATTTAGAAATGTTCCACCTGTAAAAGCAATTTGCTAGAGTCAACTAGTCATTTAGGAATCTTTATGGGGAACGGTGGACACATTGACCAGTTTGCTCAGCACTTAAGAGCATTATCCAAGTCTGGGATGTTCTGTATTGTAAAACACATGTCGATTCCTCATTTATTAACTTAAAAAAGGAAGGCAAAACAAAGTTTCAAGTCTCAAGAGGCTTTGTGGCTCCATTCAATAAACCTGGAGGGCATCTGCACCTAAAGAACTCAAACCACCGTCATTTTACTTTAATAGAACTGAATTGTGGCCAGATGGCTTGTTAAATACTCCGGAGAATAGTCTGTGGCGGCATCGTTTTAGCGGAAAAGAGTTGGAAAACTTTTTTTTTCCCCAAAATGACCTTTGATCAGATAATACACAGTAGGATCCAGAGTCCAAAACAACAGCTATGAATGTAAAGCTGTATTATTCCGATCACACACTCAGGCAAGATATCATGGCAAACAAAGAACAAAAATTAAGTAATCTTTTCTTAAACAGCGCATTTTTTGGACTGAGGTTTGGCGTGTCAAATGAATGATAAAGAAAAGAGGAAAGCTTCCTGGATCTCAATTGCAGTGATGGAAGTCAGTAGATGAGCTGCTCTTTGGTGAAGGGATTGTCAAGGTATTATGACACAAAAAAAGCCTAACCCTAACCCTAAGCCCTCTCTTATTAGTGAAAATCCTAATTATTATTTATCAAAAAGGCTGGATAAAAAGCAACTAAAAGCTACTATTGCAATGACATTGAAGTTTCTCCTTGTTTTGTCTAATGTCTATTGAGTTGACATTGAAGCTACACACAATACAAACCGTATTGTATTAACATGTGATGGCATACATCGTTTACTGAAGCAAATCATGAACTTCATTGATTTGTTCTGTCCCACACACGACTTACCAAAGACCACGATGCCCTGCGAAGCGACCGTGCATCCTGGTCTTCCTCTGGCTGGTATCTCCTCTGTCCTATGTCACCCGCTGACCTCTGCCTCCTCATTATCACAGAGTATTTCTATGCAAAATTATAATATATCATTACATTTACATAGAAAGTACAGCTAGTGCTCCTACTCTGCTGGGCATGAGCCAACAATGAATCTGTATCACGCTGAATCTCAGAAAAGTATGTCCTCCTTATCTACTGTAAGATACAAGATGGATTGCGCAACACCATAAACTTTGCTTCAATACAAACAGGACATAATGGGGTGTTGGTGTTCTTTCTCGCTCGGGCCTCCACCAATGGGAAGCCTCCTCGCAGTTGTGGCGCATTAGTGATAAGGGGAAACTCATTCGGTTGCAGCGCTGTGTCCTTGATAAGTGCTCCAGGAAAACCAGCAGTAACATCAGTCAGATGAGCGTTATTCATGTTTGTTTGACTAAGCAAAGAGGTTATTGCCACTGACGGCTGCGACAAACAATGACCTAAACTACTGGGCACTTCAACAGTAAACTTCTATTTCACGACTTAAGGATAAGTTACATGGATACAATATATACATTCTACGGGTTTGACAATAAGCATCAATATGTATTAAATATGTGATTACAGTGTAAGGGTGTAGAGACTATTAGGGTCATTGATAATCGTATGAACTTGTGGTAATTTTAGAAGAAAATATAATCTATTGTTCTCAAAGTGTGTATTCTTAAATATTTGCAACTATCACCAGTTGGTGGATTCTCATAACAACACAATACTTACTTTAATAAAACTGGTAAGTTTGTTGCAAGTTTTATGCTCAAATCAAGATATCTCTATAGCCCTCAAGCACTTATGAAAATAGAAGAGACATTTATAGACAAAAGGAGCTTCAAACACATTGATGTTTGTACAGTTTTTTTGTCATTTATTGTGAATATTTGTTTGATTGTTGTGTTTTTCTTGCAGTAAATCACAACTCTTCAATTTGAGATCATCATACAGTATGTGCATTTAAGTGCAGTGTTGTTTTTTCTTTAACCTAGGGATGTCTCGATTATATTTTTTGAATGGTTAGTGTTAAGATTGTGTTACAACCAAAACTACAGTGAAAAGTCATCTTTCATTTCTATGCAACCATCTTTTCTATAATTGAGCGAGAGATCAACTGCAATCGACTACAATCGCATGATATTTTTTTTAAATACATTTTCATGAATCGTGATCTGAATAATCACAAAGTTCGCTAAAGTTCACCATTATTGATCTGATGGTTAAAGACGTCTGTTGTTTTGAATTGTGCCTCACATTCCAAGTTACTGTATTTGCTGAAGCCAAAACAAACACTACTGAACAGGATCTGTGCCACTGACCCAATGCAAAATAAAGCAACACCTTCAGGCAGATCAGAAAGGAGGCAAGACCAAAAGATATAAACTTGAGACAGAAATGGCTTATTTACTTTGTGCAATGAGAGGTTAAAGGCACACCGCGGACTTTGTGACCTAAAGAGTTGACACATATGAGTTATTTTATATGAATACTTGGGCCAATATACAGCGCTTGACACTTGCAATGCTCCGAGCGGGGCTGCCCTCTTGAAATAACGCCCATGTAAGTTTCGAGCAGACGGACCGTCTGCCACCAGGTCACGTGACTTGGAAGAAAGACTTGCTTTACGGCTACAGGCGCTGATATACTCATGGAGCTAAGGCTTTTGCTACTCATTTTTCACCTGCTCGACTCCTGGTCATGGCTGAGGCAAGGAAAAATTTTAAACCTTCGGAGGAGGCTAAAAAGAGGAAACGCGAAAGGGATCGTGCTGTAAGCTGCATGTCTGTATGAGCGCTGCTGTTCACCTGGTTCCTGGATGTCATCGACCGCAAAGATGTCATTCCACGCAGCACGAGCTAGACGCAGAACTCCCTCATCCAGGATATAGAAGTCCATGTGTGGTAGATTACTAATGCAGCGGTCTGGAGGCTGACCACAGCAGAGTCTCTCAATATCTGTAGGCATGTCTCTACAGTTTGAACACACACACCAGTGCATGCTGTCTGAATACACACTCAAAAGACACCGGCTGACTGTTTGTTGACTTTTGCGACAGTGCTGAGTTGCTTGTGGCCACTAGGGGCGCTAAACGTGAAAGTTGCAGGTCTAGCGCCCCTAGTGGCCAAGAGTTACACGGTGTGCCTTTAAGACAATCTAGAGAAGAATAATTTATTTTGAATAGTGTGTCCTGAGTATTATTTGTTATTTATGTTTGTTACTATTTTCCAGGACGATTATGGATGTTTATATATAAATCTGGTAAAACAAATTAAATAAAACATAATGGAGGATTGGCATAAAGTTACTGTTATTTGACAGGATTGTTTAGTTTATTTAGAGAAAAAAAACATTGACCTTAAAAGAGAGAGATGCATTGTACCAGGTTATAGCAGAGATAAGTTAAAAGCACCTATTTGAATATTATCTCAAAAAAGTTAGGTATGGAATGTTCATGCCAGAACACTGACAAAAACCTTCTAAATCTGAGTCTAAAAGTGCAATTTTAGGAACCAATGACCCAACCCTTGATGATTCCAATCCTCATTCAACTGTTGACTTTGAATCATTTTTATTGATAATTCGTTCGGGTCATACCATTTTACAGTGAGCCGTTATGTTCCAGCCCATGTCTTTACAGAAGAATACACCAGCCGTGCGTACTTTATATAAACAAAATTGAGTCATAACAAAGCATTTCTGAGGCCCACTTAAGTCCATGAACTTAGACCCAGAGGATTTTTTGTTGATCCAAAGCAGTCCTGCTTTGACAACGCCACAATCTCTGAGCTGGTTGACCAAGCACCGACCAAACACGGGTCACATTCCACTCATGTTACTAGTAGAAACAATGCAAGCTTTAAGAATCTGTGTAAAATAAACCTCTCCCGCCATACCTGTACTCTCAAAACATCAACAGTACAACTTTTTGATTTTGGTTTGGTCTAGAGTAGTCAAAAATGTCGTTGTTTCAGTCTTGCACAATTTGCTGATAAGAGGAGTCATGGCATCGCTTTCATATTAGGGGAAATACTAGAACTTTTGTCTTAGAGCCAGGGTGTGTGTATGTGTGTGTATATGTTTATGAGATTGTAGTGTAAGGCTTCTTGGCTCATTGTATATAATTCAAATATTGTTTGTAGTATAGTAGAGTGAACATGCAACTGTGTGTATCCCCTCGCAGTAGTACTCTATATCCTGTCTGTGCAACATTTACATGGCCACTGAAGGAAAAAAAGAGTATTTTCAGAAATTGTATGTGAAACTGACAAAAGGAGAAGCCCTGAACCTTCAAAAGAGATAAAATACTACTAGAAATATGTAAAAAAAAAAATAATAATACTATGGAAGAGAAATGTAGAGAAACGTCTATGGTAAGCCAGACCTCTGTATAGAAATGTGTCCGTATTCAAGAGCATGAAGCAATTCAACTACTTTGACGCCTGAAGGGATACATCAAAAATAAATAAAGGCTTACCTATGTGTTAGGGATGAAATAAATATGCATCCCCCCCCCCTCATACAATTACAGGTCTTATAAAAGCAATAATCAACCATAGCAGCGCCTACAATGACATAAGCAAAACCAAAGGAGACAATTATACACAGAACAATGTCAAAAAATGTTGTGTGTGTAATTAAATACGCCAGTCTTGTTTGCAACATGGCAAGATTAAAACAGGGGAGCTTATGATTGAATTGAATGGTTGTCAACAACAAACTGGTTGAATCTAGCTGCTTCAAAGAAATCATCGAACAGCAAACCATCAGTGGCTGCTACGTAATCCTATCCGAACCAAGTGTCGTATAGCAGAAGGATAATTACATGCCTTTAGGTGACCCATCCATTCAGCAATACATCACTGCTAACAGGCACTAGCAACCACACATGCTAGCTAACATTAGCCGGGGAAACCCAACCATCACAAGCGCTCACAGCCTCGTAAAAGCCCAGTGACCAGACCGCGCTGAGGCTTCGCAGCTCGGGCTTCACCTGTGTCGTTCTGCCGCTGGTTTCCGTCACTGAAGGATGTTATTGTGTTTCAGAGAGTCCCCATCGCTGCGAAACTCCCCCAAAGTCTCTTGACGTGTCGGTGACTGGACAACCGAGGCTGCGCTGGATGGCTGATCGCGGTCTGCCGCTGGTGGTGTTTGTGGTGGTGTACGCGTGTGTGAGGGACGCTAGAGGTAATGGTTCTTCAGCCTTCAAGCCCCGGCGGCCATCTTGGAGTTGTAAAAAGAGCAAATATGTCGAGGCGTAATTTTAACTATAATCGGTGGTACTAATATAAATGTAATTAGTTAGATATTACTGATTATTTTTGGTCCTGTATAATAATGTGTAATACAGTACCAATACCGGATCTGATTATTATATATATTATTGTATAAGTAAATACTTTCTTGCATTATTTGGTCCTAACAATGCAGGAACATGCCTTATTTTTTTCCTCATAAATAAATCTGGAGTTCCTAACTTTGTATAGTAAATACTGTGTATCCCAACAGAAAGAGTCGCGTTTAAGAAGCATGTTGTGAACAGATCAAGCTAAAGCATGCTGACTTCCTCTTGATCTGAGAGCTGAATGTCCTGAGAACCTGACCTAATGATGTGACAGAGCCATGCATGCAAAAGCTATGTACTCCAGAAAATACATTTTCATTTTACAAAAGCCAGCTTCTCTTTATTATTTTACAACGTTTTACTTTTGTTTATTCACTTTGACACTAGTCTTAGATAAAATGCTTTTAAGCTGAAAAATATTGCATTCCGGTATACAAGTAAGTGTATGTACAAAGTTGACAAAGAAGTAATAAATGTAATCAACTCAATCTTTTTTTTTTGTAGTTTCCATATGTAGGTATTTATATTTATTCTCTGGCCTCTGTCATATATTTAATCCAAAAGATAGCGTTTTATTTTATTTTTTCTAGTAAGATAGACAGCATTCACAAAATGTTAGATGCCTCTATGTTGGGTCCATAGGGCAAAAACAACATGTTACAATAGATACAAGTTAGGTACCTCAGCCTATATGAGTTATGTTTTGGATGTAGTTATTCATAACTACATACTAACTTGAGAGGGGTGTACTCTAGTTTTATAAAGCAGTGTGTTGGCAGCGGTGGTTATGGAAAGGCTGATGGTCGCTGGTGTGTAGAGCCTCACAGCGGCGGAGAGGCGCAGAGCTGCAGAGTATGTTCCCTGTTTCCTGTACGCCGTAACCCTGGCCGTGTCCAATACTATTAACAGATGAGGGCTACGACCAACATGAGTCAGGGCTGTTGGTCATCATGAGACAGAGTTTATGAATGGTGGAAAAGTGAATGAGACTGAGTTAGAGGACATCATTTATAACAAAAAGTTAACACTGTAGTTTATTTCTTCAAATCATATGATTGGATTTATTGTCATTTACGTCATAAGGTGGGAGGTGAAACAGAAACTTAAAATACTATAAGCACATGGTATGGCCTATGGGGTATACGTGATGTATCCTAGTTTGAATGAACTTGCAAGACAACATACTTATCCCTCTTCACATTTTCTTGGTATGACTTCAATAAGTTTAACAACCCAACAGTTACTATCAGCTTTGAGTGACACACAAATGAACACGTTTCAGCTGTATTTCCTGCTCCACCTCTTCTGTCAACTGTTGACACAGAACTACTTGCAGACACGACAGAATGACAGATGAAAAACATGTCTCCCATTCCACTATTCACGTTTGACAACACTATTTCATATTTAAAGCAAAGTAAGTGGTTTTACATAACATAAACATATGATACAAGCAATGTATTTGGCATAAAATCATGAGCTTATAGTATTTGAAGGGAGTTATTGGCCTCTGGTAAGAAACAAAGATTAATAACAGAAAAACCATGTCCTTAAACTTAAATTACATAGTGGGCAAACTGTGAGCAATACCTTCTTTATCACATGACTATAATATTGACCAGCTCTGTCCAAAGCCCTGCAGCCCAGCACATGAAAGAATGAGGAGAGCAGTGTGTACAGTGTGTGTACTGTTTATTCAGACTGGTCTGCACATCAACATGTGCAGGTAAAGGCTTTGGAGAAAACTCAGTCTCTCATTCTCTTGTTGCCATGGATACTTTGATCTTTAGTCTTTCTTGCTCTCCTCTTCATCTGGGTTGTATACACTGACAGTGAACTCGCCTGCCTCTGTGCCGTACTTGTTCTTGACCACAAGAGCATATTTTCCGGAGTCAGCTGTAGTCACTGCGGCGATGGTGATGGAGGCAAACTTTCCATGCTCAAACTTGAGTTTGTAGCGGTCGTCAGACACCAGCTCTCTTTCGTTCTTTGTCCAGCTTACCTCTGGTGCCGGCTCGCCCCACACATTTCCAGTCAGGTTCAAAGACTGTGTGAATCAAAAATGTGGTTTACAATGTTTACAACACAACAGCTTTGTCAGTGTGTAATACTGAAATCACTTACCTTGCCCTCTTGAATAGCAACAACATCTGGCAGACCTCCAACCACACGAGCACGATCTGCACAGAAAGAACAAAGGCAGTTCAACAATTGTTTTATGACTCAACGGCAGTGAGTAAGTTCCAATGAACAAAGACACAAAATAACTGTCACTTACTTCTCTCAGCGATTGCTGCAGCTCTGTGGAAGGAAACACACACATTGTATGAGTGTCAACAGAAAAGCTTATCACAGTTGACAATATGAGGAAATGGGTGGACATGAGGTTCTAGATATCACTGGACTATTTTAAGTCTGTTGTGAATATCACTTTCTTGTGCAAACATCCTTGTGCAAAAACACAGAAATCTCTACTTACTTGAGCCTCTGGAACTCCTCAAATGCCTCTTCCCAGGCTGAAAAAAGAGAAACACAGTTGCATAAGTTTCTAAGTCAAGCAAAAGATAAGTTAGCAAATAAAAAAGAAATGTCTGCCTCAAGGTGAAATTAATAAACAAGCAAGAATTTGAACTCTATGCATATTTAGAATAAGACAAAATAATATATAATTTTTATTGTATAAGTTGGCGCTCTACTGTCATATTATATTCAAATCATAAGCATTTTTGTTCACCAAAGGCTGTTTTAAAACCCTTTTTAAAACAGCTGTAGGGCTTGTGTTCCAAAGTAAGGAAATACCGTGCATGAATCTGGTTGAGTGATCATTGCCTGGTTGTTGAATAATCCTGCCTTGCGTGTTCTGAACTGCCTGTGGCTTTAAGTAATGTCGTTATAATTGTAGTTTAGTTTTCTCATGTGTATGCCTAACGTATCCTTAAGGAGTGAATGTAAGTTTTACAACTTCTTTTTTTTAAAGATTGCAAACCTTAGCCACCGGATATGTTTTTGGATATTCCATTTTAATGTAAACTGTGCAAGTGCTTTAGTAAAATGGGTGGTCTGAATAAGAGTGCACGTGTGTGTGTGCGTGTGTGTGTGCGTGTTCGCGTGCGTGTGTGAGATGATGTGGCCAACCTTTGCCGCTCAGATCGAACACTCTCTTGACTCCGTCTTTGCCGTCAAAGATGTCCATGGTGTATTTGCCCTTGTCTTTCTCAGTCGGCTCATTGATCTGGAGCCAGAGCTGCTCCCCAGTCACTCCGGACTTCAGTCTCTCAGAAGCAGCAATCTTAGTGTCTCTACCGGGACACAGCAGGGTCAAAAACGTTCAACAAGTAACATCTGTTTCATGATTACAAACAAAAACAAATGCTATGAAAATTAATTTTACAAACTGAAAGATAATGAACTGTTTAATTAAAGCAGGAGTATCCACCTTATCTCAGTAAGACTTTGGTTAACCAGATTTCCCTAGTTTTTTGACAAGATCTAAGCTTAAAATGAGGTATGACATGTCCAAGCTGGAGTTGGCTGAATGATAAATATTGAATTGCTCACGAGTTTCATAAACGTCATGTACAGAAATCACATAAATCTCGGTATAGTTAAACTCAGTCAACAACTAGATTGAAGAGGCACTGGGTTTTAAGGCTATAGTGGAGGAGCTGAAGTTGGCTGGATGACGCAGTGAACTTGTGTCCATGACCTCAAAAGCAGAGGGTGACAGGGTCTTCAGGCCAGACTTTGGATATGCCTGAATCTTTCAATGTATTTCATCTATTAGTGATGAGTACCAAGGTTTCTCAACATCCAAAGTAGAAAATGAACAGTTAAGTCAACATTTTTGTCCAGAAAGACGACTGTATCAGAACATTTACAAAACAATTGCTTTTATAAGGTGTAGCTAGCAGAACTCATCCAAAATAAACTATGGATAGGCCACCAATTATTGACTTCCGGTAATGTTATCACAATCATTCAGAAAATAGAAATGTATGTATAAATAGGAGCTAGTACTTTTATACTGATAACTAGGGCCACAGGTGACTTTTTGTCAATGGAGCTTTTTTGGGGCTCATGCCAGGCTAACACATGCGCAAATGCGTTTATTTACATTTTCCTGCCCCACAGCCATTTTGAAAAAGCCCCCAGAAGGCAAAAGTGGTGGCACATTAGTTTCAACTGCAGAGATAGGCGCGACAACCTATTCAAAGTCTTTAGCCGCAACAGTAAAGTGAAAATTAGAAGTGCCAGGTTGTGTTTAATCCGACTTTTCAAAAACAAAAAGGGACAATTTGCTGAGGGGCACACAACACAAAATAAATGAACGATAACTACATACTAAAATAAAATAAATCTCTAACTCAAAATCTCTCAAAATCTAGCTTGAGCGTGAAAAAGGAAGCAAATCTAAAATCTCCAACTTTAGCATAATGAAGAAGCAAGAATTGAGTACAAAATCTCTGACTTTAGCATAAGATAGAATTGGTCCATATTAAAAAAAAAATACATATATTGAAATACTTACTTGTGCAGCCATCCTACGCGCAGCTCCTCATTGTAATAGGTTATGTTAGAATGAAGGATCAGTCCATGTTCAGTGCTAGTGATTTGGACTTCAGTAGAGGAGTTGGCTGGAAGGATACATAATCAAATGCATGAATGAGAAGTTGGCCAACAGACATGCATGATAAGAAACAGTGTGAAGAGGCTCACCAATTACTCTGAACAACTCATTCATGACCGCTTGGTAACCTGCAAACACAAGGATGACACATCAAGGACCAACAATACTTTATACATGCACAAGAATTAGCAAGTACTGTATAGAGCTGCAAGTTTTACCTGCGTCTGTCATGTTATAGATGCTCTTGTCTTTGCCTCTATCATCCTTCAAGAACACCTCGTAAACTCCAGCGTCCTTCTTGCTAATCTAAAATTTGAAATACCATCAAGTAAGTAACAGATGCATACAGCCGGGTTCCCTTTTTAAACAAAAGAAAAATACACTTTGGACATATATACGACAGATATATTAGGACAGGAGCGACAGAGATCCCCTATGCAGAAAAGGCAAAGCTTTCCCGTGCGTGGGATGATACATAGAAGAGACAAACAAGACGCAATGACAGACGATGAACTTATGAAAGCATGTTTGTGTCCAGACTTTGGGTCTTGGTCCTTTGGGGACTCCCTCTGCGGCAGGCTTTTGGCGAGGCTTTTCTTTCTCTTTGAGCTTTTCTTGCACATTAACCCACTGTGGATTAGACAGATAGCAGTTATTGCTGGAGCGAATGACATTAGTGGCGATGAGCATGCACTTGTGCCAACACCCCCTGTGTAGGTGTGCATGTGTAGGTCTGCATGTGTAAGTCTGCACGTGTAAGTACATGTGTAGGTCTGCATTTGTGCGTCTGCATGTGTAGGTCTGCATGTGTAGGTGCAAGTGTAGGTGCATGTGTAGGTCTGCATGTGATGGTCTGCATGTGTAGGTCGACATGTGTAAGTCTACATGTGTAGGTCTGCATGTGTAGGTCTGCATGTGTAGGTCTGACTGTGTAGGTGCATGTGTAGGTACATGTGTAGGTCTGCATGTGTAGATCTGCATGTGTAGGTTTGACTGTGTAGGTGCATGTGTAGGTGCAAGTTTAGGTCTGCATGTTTAGGTGTAGGTGCATGTGTAGGTACATGTGTAGGTCTGCATGTGTAGATTCATGTATAGGTCTACATGTGTAGGTCTTCATGTGTAGGTCTGCATGTGTAGGACTGCATGTGTAGGACTGCATGTGTAGGTCAACATGTGTAGGTTTGCATGTGTAGGTCTGCATGTTTAGTTCTGCATGTGTAGGTGCATGTGTAGGTCTGCATGTGTAGGTGCATGTGTAGGTTTGCATGTGTAGGTCTGCATGTGATGGTCTGCATGTGTAGGTCTGCATGTGTAGGTCTACATGTGTAGGTCTGCATGTGTAGGTCTGACTGTGTAGGTCTGCATGTGTAGGTCTGCATGTGTAGGTCTACATGTGTAGGTCTACATGTGTTGATCTGCATGTGTAGGTCTGACTGTGTAGGTCTGCATGTGTAGGTCTACATGTGTAGGTCTACATGTGTTGGTCTGCATGTGTAGGTCTGACTGTGTAGGTCTGCATGTGTAGGTGCATGTGTAGGTCTGCATGTGTAGGTGCATGTGTGGGTCTGCATGTTTAGGTCTGCATGTGTAGGTGCGTGTGTAAGTGCATGTGTAGGTCTGCATGTTTAGGTCTGCATATGTAGATCTGCATGTGTAGGTCTGCATGTGTAGATCTGCATGTGTAGGTGCATGTGATGGTCTGCATGTGTAGGTCTGCATGTATAGATTTATGTATAGGTCTACATGTGCATGTGTAGGTCTGCATGTGTAGGTCTACATGTGTAGGTGCATGTGTAGGTCTGCATGTGTAGGTCTGCATGTGTAGGTGCATGTGTGGGTCTTCATGTTTAGGTCTGCATGTGTAGGTCTGCATGTGTAGGTCTGCATGTGTAGGTCTGCATGTGTAGGTCTGCATGTGTAGGTCTGCATGTGAAGGTCTGACTGTGTAGGTCTGCATGTGTAGGTGCAAGTTTAGGTCTGCATGTGTAGGTGTAGGTGCATGTGTAGGTCTGCATGTGTAGGTGTAGGTGCATGTGTAGGTCTGCATGTGTAGGTCTACATATGTAGATCTGCATGTGTAGGTGCTTGTGTGGGTCTGCATGTTTAGGTCTGCATGTGTAGGTGTGTGTGTAAGTGCATGTGTAGGTCTGCATGTTTAGGTCTGCATGTGTAGGTCTGCATGTGTACAGTAGGTGCATGTGATGGTCTGCATGTATAGATTCATGTATAGGTCTACATGTGCATGTGTAGGTCTGCATGTGTAGGTCTGCATGTGTAGGTCTGCATGTATAGATTCATTTATAGGTCTACGTGTGCATGTGTAGGTCTGCATGTGTAGGTCTACATGTGTAGATGCATGTGCAGGTCTGCATGTGTAGGTCTGCATGTTTAGGTCTGGATGTGTAGGTCTACATGTGTAGGTCTGCATGTGTAGGTCTGCATGTGTAGGTGCATGTGTAGGTCTGCATGTGTAGGTGCATGTGTAGGTGCATATGTAGGTCTGCATGTGTAGATCTGCATGTGTAGGTCTGCATGTGCATGTGCAGGTGCAGGAGAGTCCATCTTGGAGGATGAAGGGTTCCAATTTAGTGGTGGAATTCAAATATATGCTATTCAATACAAACGTAACATGGTTAAATGCTTATGAATGATGACGCCAATAATAAATTACATGAAAGAATAAATAATATGCTTTTTTTGCATTTTGGTCATAAAAAACCTAATGAAACTTAACCTTTTTTTAGAAGAATTAATAATACTGGTATATGTAAAGAATAAATGCATGGCGAAACTGGGTTAAGATGGGATAAAACTGGGATAAAATATACTATCTGCATGTAACTCCCTAGGCTACCACAAGAGGGAGGACACAGCCGTTATTAATCTGGATAGATCCAAAAACGACTTCAGGTCTGTTTTTGATGAGGAAACAATGTTGTAAATGGCTCAAATAATATGTATGACATGCACCAGTACACTTGATAATTAATTTCAACTAATACGTAAACTGTAAAATGATAACAACCCTTTCATGTAACTATAAACAGTTGAACCACACACTCAGAGTTAGTCATCTACGTGTGGGTCATTACTAATTAAAAACTCAACAGTTACTAAAAATAGACTGATGCGACGCTGGGAACACCCACTGCTGCATGAACTGAGCCATGCGTTTTGACTGATCCATCAGGTTCAAACGCGAGGGGAAATCAAGAGTATTTAGAGCTTTGTGATTCACATATAGACATCTAGAGTGACCTTATGTTGTATAATATTAGTGCGGATGATATTAGTTTGAGCTTGTAATGTCATGTGCGAAGTTTGCAACAATTAAATCAAGGGTACGTAACTTTTATTCCCTCATAAACAAACAATAATTGTATGTTCCAACAAGTGAACTAATCAGACCACAATAGGCTGTTTTAATCTTATTAGATCTTATTCATCTTGTTATAGTTTTCATGTTATATATACTTATATTTTCAACACTCAAAGATGCTTTATCAAGGCACAAATTGATAAGAAAGAAAAATGAAAAGCTAAAATAACCTAGTCTAGGCAATCAAAATGGGATTATTTGCTTCATTCTGATTCTATTTGTTCATGCAGCAGGAATGCATAGACAATTTATACAATACAATAAATTATAGAGAGTTTGAGATTTTTTTTTTTAACTTTTCTGTCTGAAAAGCTGCTCTTAAGATGTGGCAAGATTCAGTAAAAACCACATTAGAATACATCTTTTGTGGTTTGTAAGTTAGGTACCCCAGCTTTAATCTTACCATTTCTCATATAATCTGTATGTTCTGCTGTGTCAGAGAGGTGTTGGCAGCGGTAGATGAAGAAAGCAGAGGTGCATGAAAAAGCACTGCCTTTAGCCTTTAGCTGTAGCCTCTGCCATTTGGCCCCTGGTTCTTCTTAATAACAGCGCCGACTAAAACTCTCCCAACCGCCTGACCTTTCCAATGTTAAACGTTAGGTCGCCGTCCTTCATCTCGATCTTCGCAGCCTCCTCATCATCCTCCGCAATCTCAATGCTGTCCTTGGACCAGATGATTTCAGTCTCAGGTTTAATGTTGCCAATCTGAAAGAGAGGGAAACAATGCATTGAATACAATTTGTTAGGCGTAAACAAGAGTCTATTCTTCTTACCTTGCATTTCAACAACACATTGCATTCAGAAGTAACAGTGAAGCCAAGGTACTCCACAAAGTGAGGACCTGTGGGTGGTAATATGACACATATGCAACATTATGGGCTTGAACGCAAAAGAAGAATCTATCTATATCCGTGAACCATTTTAATAGCAGATCCCTGGACCCCTGGGGCAAGCAGCACTGCCACCCGCTACCACAGAATAGAAAAGCATTATTCTCCAAAATTATGGAGTACTTAACTTTTTGTTCTTGTTGCATAAATACATGTGTGTTTGTCCCAACAGAAATAGTTTGGGAACAATGCCATTTTTTAACTTAGAAAACGGCATATATTTTGCATACATTTTCCCAAGTGCAAGAGTTTAATATCTTTATTATCTTTGTAATGTTATTATTACCAATAATAATGAATAATAGATCTTGTTTGATCCTTGCCTAACCTAAGTACTTATTTCTACACGCAGGACAATCTTATCCATATTTTAAACTGAGAGAAACTGAGTGATGTGACAGAGGCCAAAAATACACAGAACTACTGATAGAAAACTCATGAACAAAACTGTTTTGAGAGGGAGGAGCTACAGTAGTTACATGGATTTTATTACCGCACTTTCTGGTCTATTCTGACAATAAACAAGTGCACTATAGCTTCTAAAACTTGATGTCGAAGTCAAAGTAATAAGTCCATAAACTCTGCCCCCACAACTCTATTTTCGCAAAAAGTAGCGGCGTATTGTACGGTACAAGTCTTATTTTTGTGGTTTCAAAGTTAGATACTCCAGCTTTAAAGTTGTTGGTTACTGTCAAAATGTTCAGAGTTTGTCTTAAAATCTTTCGTCTCACCTTGTTTTCTGACCCATTCTGCCCTCTCGAACTCGGACTTCTTTTGAAGCTCCCTGAACTCTGCAACAAAGACGTGCATAAAAATAACCTTTATGATTTTCTTTTTTTTTTCTTTTAAACCCAGCAATAAGTGAATGGCGAACGGGCAATAGCAGTAGTACTGTATGACTCATTGCAGGAGAAGCAGAAAAAAATCATGAATGAAAAAAATCATTGCAAATACATTCAATGAAATGGTGGATCACTACTGCCCCTCTGTGGACAAATGTGTGAACTGTATTTACGCTTTAATTTGACTGTACTGTTAGAATTTCTTTGATGATAATGAAAAAAACTGTAATCATAAATAACGATAATAATGGTAATGATAATAATAATAATAATAATATAATAATAAATACATCATCTTGCAAGTACATTTGAATGCTATTTCTTTTACAATGATGTCCTCAATCCTTCTTTCATGTCTCAAAGAGGATGTAATTCAATAGTCATATTACAAAAATAAAAAGCACCATTTGCATTGATAAACTTTGTATTGCTAAGTAACGTAATAAAAGTCTCAGCTCTTACCATCACCGATCATCACCAGACTGGTTGTGCCCTTAGCTTTGCCATCGACCAGTTTGAAGGTGAACGTTCCCTCATCTGTCACCTCTAAAGAGTCCATGTACATTTCAATGATCCCAGAAGACTTGTCGAAATTCATTGAATATTTCTGTGATCAAAACGACAGATTTTAGCCAAAAAAGTGAGTGGCTCAGATTAAATGAGTTCTTCTCTCAAAGTGGTTCAGTTGTTACCTTTCCCTGAGTAATGATGGCATCGTTGAAAGCATATTCCACTTCGCAGGCCGAAGTGCACTTCTCCACCTGGCACCAGAAACGCACACGGCCCTTCTCCAGCAGCTCCATCGACATCTCGTTTTTGAAGGGAATAACTATGGGAGAAAATGTCACAACATGTCTGTAGGAATCAGAACTGCTGCTGCACATAAGCATATACAGGGCTTTAAGGGTACAATGATAGAACGATAGAAAGGTTATTTACTGGGGAACTTGTGCTCATGGCTCAAATCCAGGAGACGCTTCAGACCTGTAAAACACAACGTTCATTTGGTTAGTACAAATGCTGCTTGTATAAGATAAGATAAGATAACATAACATAAGATAGACTTTATTGATCTCACACAGGAGAAATGTACATATTGTATACAATACGTATTGTACGTATTGTATTTGAAATTTTGACTCATGTTGTAACTCTCTGACCCCACATGGAAAGGCCCTGTCTACAAAGGGTACCAGCAATTCGTCTCAATTGAATCTATAGTATATTTGCCAGTGTTTTGATCTACTAAATTGCTTATATAAATTGCTCAATTTTGGCAAATGTGTTTTTCTCCTGTGTCTGTGGCTCTTCTCCTAATCTTCCACTGGCCAAGGCCAAAGTTTGATAACAGGGCTCTTTTTCAAAACAAATCTCAGACTCACAGCAGTTACCCAGCTTTGCCCTAGACGTAACATGTCTCTCCAAGCTGTCTTTGTGAAATGCGTGTGTTGCTGCCCTCTGCTGTTTCTACTATTTGTCGCATGGCGCTGGAAACATGACGCCGTGGCAGGAGCTCTGGTGTGTACTTTCTTCTCTGTCTGGTGCACACTGGGGTAGTCTTGCACAGTTTTCCAATGTGGTTTTACTGCAAATGGCAAGTACATTCTTCTGTATTGTACTATCTATGGTATGAAAATATATGGACAGGTGCAAGAATCAACAACATAATGCCTCAAATATTGATACAAATATTTATAAACGAGGTTTCAAAGTATCATGGTCATATAGGGCATGCGGAACTTCGTGCTCCCCCCATTGAAGAATCTTTTTTTAGACAGTGATTGATTTGTTGTATTTTTACTGGTATTATGTCCCAAAAAATTAAAGTCCCTGTGATTTCTGCAGTCAGTCAGACAGTCTTGAACAGGTCTGACAGTACAATAGCTCCCCTCTCTCTGGGGCCAGGACTCTCCTAAAAAAGATTCTGAAATCTCAGTGAGACCTTCCAGGTTAAATAAGTTGTTTTTTCTGTTGTTGATCTTTTTACCATCTTAAATGATGTGATGGAGACTAAAACCTGTGAATCAGTGAATCACTGTTTTTTTCAAAACACTAAAAACTGTAAAAATGGCGCTCTCTTTTGGCTGTTTTTAAAACTACATACCATTTGACACTACACATAGGCCAAACTAAAGAGTAGCCTTGTTTGGAGGAGGTATGAAGCAGTGTTTCAAAACATTACCTCAAATCGTTCTGCTTCATAAGTTTGATACTTGTTTCAAGCAGAGGGTTCGAGTGCAATATCTCTAGCTCTATCTAACACTGACCAAAGTGTTCAAAACTACCACTTGTTGGTTATTCTACAACTTGCGATGCATCATCAATAGTTAAAAGCCCAGACTAGTGCTTCTAATCAAGCCGCAAGATTACAGACTATGCAGACCCCCATTGGGCAGTAGTTCATTTGTTGTGTTTACTTGATATGTCCCAAAATAGTCATAGTTATAGTCACTGTGATCTCTGCAGTCAGTCAGACAGTCTTGAACTTGTTTGGACGACGTTACATGAGAGACTGTCCCCCAATCCAAATATAAATGCACAAATGTCAAGTGCTCTGACAACAGATTATTCATGCTGTTGTCACCTATGTAAGAAATAAATACTTATATTAAAGTTTTTCTCCATATGGCTCTCGCCCCACAAGCTATACTATTTCTATTGAGCTTAGTTGTTATAGTCACACAGAAGACTCTTTTCTGCTTTGAAGAAATATCAGCAGCAGTGTTAAATGCTGAATTGAAATTCTCGCTTAACAAAAAGTAAAATAAATGCCATTTATAATGTCAATCTCCAGGTTGAACTCACCCTCCTCTGTCAGGGTGTAGCTGGAGGAGATGCCTTCAGTGTTAGTGACCGCACAAGAGTAAGTGCCCAGATCGTCCAGCGAGGGAGAGTTGAAGATGGCTCTAGTTCTTGGGGGAAAGGGACAAATAAAAATGTTTGGATTTTTGTTTTTAAACATACAGTCCAATCCTTATCTGTATTTAGATGAATATTGCTAACCCGCTAGCTCAATGGAGACCAATAGAGAAGTACATTTTGGGCCAACTTGCTCTGGCTCCTACCAGTTTGTTTCACACTCACCATTTTGAGCTTTAAAAACCTGTAATTTGGTGCTCTCTACGTTTATATTGTGATAAGCAAAAGACTGAATAATAGACAATCTAATGGCATTTCCAACAAATCCTCCTTTTTTAATATGAAGTTAAGCATAGTTAAGGTTAAAATACTTACTTTCCGTTTTCGCTGATGATTGTGAGGCGGGAGGTGTCCGTGAGCGCGGCATAGTTTTTGGACCAAACAAACTCAGAGCCCTCGTTCATTTCGGAGCATTCAAAGATCATGGAGATAACACCATTGTCGTCCACATCTACGTAAATCTCCTTTGTGCCTTAAAAAAGAGAGTAAAGTCTGGACTATTTAGCTAAAAATAGAAATAGGTTATTATACAGATTTTTTTTTGTTTTGAGTGTCAGAAATATTACCGGTACGAGTCTGAGCAAGGATTGGACCCAGGTCAGCAGAGGGCCTGCCGACTCCAGTGAGATTTTGAGCTCGTACACGGAAAACATAGGAGGTGCCCGAATTCAAACCCGTGACCTAAGACATGCAAACAATATTAACGGCAGCACAAGTCAAAATGTCATGGCGCTGATTGCAGTGAATTCATTATTAATTGATCTGTTGATTATGTTTAAGTAAAAGGTTATCAGTCAGGGTTAATTTGAAACAAGATCTACATTTCTTAAACCATTCCCACTTCCTTAAAGAATAAATATTATTCAAAAATGTCAGAAAACTGTGCTGAAGTCATAGTGGTACAATGACATCATAATATTACACGACTGTGACAAGCCCTTTTAGACGGAAGTGAGAAGTCCCTGACATTAGTGTAGATGGATCATAAAAACTCCATGCCTGTTTCGCATGAGGGAACATTCTAACAAAAGAGATCAAGAGTCGATAGGATATGAGATTGTGTAAACTAGTAGTGTCTAGGATTGCGTGTTACTAATAGTACATAGTTAAACAAATGTAAATTATATATTGAACAAAAAAACAATGGCTCAATAACAGTAAAAATCCACCAAAGTGAAAGAATATAAGAATTGGTAAAAAAAGTTACATAATCATACACCTTTACTCAACCCACAAGTTCAGCCTATTTCTTGCCTTCAAATACTTCTTCTTGTTGGCCTTCTCGTGAACAGCCTTCCAGCCGTTTGCTCCGGCTGAGGCCTCCTTCAGGTCCAGGTAGTAGCCGTTCACAGGACTGCGGCCATCGAACAGCGGTGCGTCCCACAGCACCACCAAGGACGTGTCACGGACCTCCAGCGCGTGAAGGCCAACAGGGACTCCTGAGTATCAACAAATACACACCTGGTTACTCTTGTTCTGGTTTAGGACTGGTTAGATCCCAGTTCAGACTTGCTTTTGGCTTGCTCGTTCTAGTTAAAGAGTCCCTCCACATCCCCTTGGTGCATGTATGTATTTAAGTATGTCGATGTACATACTTCTCTCTAAGTAAGTAGAGGGAAGTACATACTTTTCTCTACACTGTACTTTTGTCCGTCAGCTGAATATTTGTAACTTTGATGTTTATTTTAATGCAGGCCCCCAGGAAGAGTAGCTAGCTTTTAAACTAATGGAGATCCAAATAATAAACTAAACTAAACTAAACTAAACTTTTACAAATACCCCTGAACTAGAACATTGTCAAATTGGCGAAAGTATTCCCTGTGCTCCTCCTTGTACGCCTGTTTGGGAAACATTGCCCTTCATAACTATGCAAACAACTCAATCATCACATGATCAAAATCTACAATACTGTACATCAAGTGTCAAAGAATCTGAATGATCATGTTAGAAATTGACTTAGAAATAATCTCGCCAGAATCTTTTTTGAATCGTCTTATCCAGTTTGATAAATGTTTAATCCCACTCGGGATGTCAAGACTTGAAACTTGAAAGGCTTGAAACAAGATACAAATTCTGTCTTCAAATAATGTAGTTAAATGTAGCTGCTGGACTTTTTTTTGTACCTGGGACAGTGATGGTCCATTCCTTGCACTCCACAGCTGCACTGGACAGAGACGGCCGACTGACTCCGGCCATGTTCATCGCACGCACTTGGAACTGGTAAACCACGTTCTCTTTCAAATTCTCAGCCTAAAATAGAACAATGGAAATATTTATCCTCAAAATATATTGTTTCGATTTTTTTGGCTTTTGCGGTATTTCTGGTGTTTGAAATTTTTGATTCTCTGATCTGTGTTGGCGAATTCAACTGTTTTGTTAAGTCCTTCAAGATAACTACTGTTGTGCTTTAGGGCTATACAAGAATGAATTGAATTGAACTTGAATTGGAAAACTTTAATTTGTATTTTAGTCCGGAAATATAAAACACCATTAGTGTCTAAAGGGAGTTATGATGATGATAAAATATTACTTTAACAACATTCAAGGCAGGGTAAAAACGGACAAATCAGGCAACACAGTAGCTGGGGTACTTAAAGCTGGGGTACATTACTGTTTAGTTTCATAAGCAATACATTTGGTTTGTCCTGACAAAAAGAGTCTTGGAAAGAAACATTTTGTGAACCAATCAGACCCATCTTAATCTTAGTAAAACATGTTGTATTTTGTATAGTTATAAGAAAGAACCTTGTGAGTCATTATTTGACACTTTGGGCTGTTCTCTCGTTTTCACTTTTCTGTCTGAAAATCTGACAGAGGCGAAAACGAATAGCACAACATTGTTTTAAGAGCTATAGGAACTAGTTCGTTTTTTGTTTCTTAACATAGTTGAACATTTTTGCGGTTTGAAAGTTAGTTTCTCTTGTTTAAATGAAGTCAGAGTAGAGCTTACTTTATAGGTGCTGGTGGTCACAGCCTGCAGGTTCATCTCGTGCCACTTTCCAGCCACACTTCCTCTGACCGTTCTGTAGTCGATGAAGAAGCCCCTGATGTCAGCTCCTCCATTGTGAGCCGGAGGGTCCCAGGCCAGGACCATGTAGTCTTTCACGGCCTCCACCACACGCACACTGGTCGGCTTCCCAGGGACCGCTGGAAAACATACAGAACATCCATTAAAACTAGGGAGGAGCGATCCTCTCCTGTCAAAGTAAACCTGTATTTCACAAATGTGTATTTTCACTATTATTTATTAACACTTTAGACGCCAAAATAGCAGAATTGCCACACAAGCTTCTAAATCCAGTGTACTTTATATACAGTGACTTGGCTTCACACAAATTGCTACCTATAGTTTTTGTATATAAAGTTCTTCTATGTCTTGTTGATAAAAGTAGTCCAAAGTGAGAGTGTCACTATTTGTCTGTTTTAAACTACATTTCTCAAAAACAACTAATTCATTTATTAGGTTGCATTCATGTTAAATAATTATTTTTCAGTTGGAGGGCATATAGGGGAAAAAACACCTTATAGTCACCTTTATGTGAAGGTGATAATGAGACCATAGTTGATATGTGCTGACAAAGAAGATGTGGAACTTTGTGACAGTTTTGTGTCACTTGCTATTTGCTAGGCAAAAGGACATCTCTGACTTTTGAGTGTTACGATAGTTACCATGATAGATGATCTACCCTTCATCACATAAGGCAGTTCAACTATCGGCTTTTTGTTATGTAGTGATGTTACAGGAATGAAACCTATTATTGCTTGACACCAATAGAAATATAAAAAGATTGTGCATCTACAAATACAGAGTGTGAACCAATCCACCAACTCTATTATAATGATACACTGTACATTCAAGCCTCACTGGATACTGGTAAGTAACTACTACATTATGTGTCTATGTATGTATACACTATCCGTAGAGAGACAAGGCCACTAATGCCATGACCACAGCAGCATTATGCATGTGTCAAGGTTAGACAGATAGATAGATCGATAGATTGATACTTTATTGATCCCCCATAGGATAAATTCAGATGTCCAGCAGCAGAAGACTCATCCAGGGCTTGAAACGTTCCATTTGGCAGCGCAGTGATAGGAGTCTGTTGCCCCATCCTTCTCTCCATCACAGCTCCCACAGAGTCCACACTTCTACCCATCACAGAGACACATTTCCTGATCAGCCTGTCGAGCCTATTACCGTCTCTCGAGGTCAGACTGCCCCAACACGCGACCCCAAAGAAATCAGCACTAGCTACAACAGACTGGTAAAATATGTGCAACATCTGACTGCTCACATCAAAGGACCTCAGTCTTCTCAGGAAGAAGAGTCTGCTCTGACCTTTCTTATAGATAGCATTGACCTGAGCTGACCAGTCCAGTCCGTGGTCTAGGTGGACTCCAAGGTGTTTGTAGGACTGGACCACTTTGATGTCTTGTCCATTTAGTGTGACCCGTTGATAGGAAAGGCTCCCGTGAAAGTCAATGATCATCTCCTTGGTCGCATTGAGAATCAGACCATTTCTCTCACTTCAGTCTGAGAAGGCAGCCACCACCTCCTTGTACGCGGCTTCATCCCCCCTTCACATGCCACAACAGTGGTATCGTCCGAGTTTTTTTTTTTACATGGCATGTATGACTACTGAGCACAAGAATTGTTGGTGTATTGTTTACTAAACAATACCACACCATAACATGTGCATGCAACATCAAAGATAAAATAAAATTAAATTAATTAAAATAAAGCTTTACTATACTTACTGCAGGGAACAGTCCAAAGCCAGAAGAATCGTTGGTTTAGTTCATGCTCTTACAACACAATACGCTTAGCCTTCAACTTGGCCATGCATCAAGATGTACCGCTAGAGTTCTCTATCGGCAAAACAAAGCCACAACCAATAAAAATAGTTAATATTAAAGCACAGAATTTCTCTTAAACTGTACGAGTGAAAGAACATGGATGTTAGCTATAATGCACATATGAGACAAATCCATGCAGGCATAGGGATGATTGCGCTCATGGAATGATGGAGGATACTGGCACTTTAGATAGATAGATGTACATACATTAATCTAAAAAAAACCACAAACATGAAACTATACAATTGGCCTAAAAAAATCTGTGTTGGCCCTTGGTCAGGCTTTTATTCAGATGAAATCTAGTGCCAAATATCCAAATATCCAAACTCCAGTTAAAGAAAAGTAATCCTTTGTTTGGAATACCACCATATAAAAAAAAAAGAAAAACAAATATATAATACATGGCCTATAATATGATATAAGTTGAAAGGATGAAAAACTTAAAAGGCAGGTACATTGTTATCTTTCTCCTGCATGGAGATGACATTCTAAAGCACATGAACTTATAGGCAGGAAGTAAAGTGAAAAATAGAGAAATGGAAATGGAGAGTTCTTACCAACAGCGTCCAGGACCACCACAGCGTCAGACTGAGCCGTGCACTGGCTGTAACCAGCAGCATTTACTGCCTTTGCCCTGAACACGTAGTTAGACCCAGCGGTAAGTCCATGGCACACAAACCTGAAACAGAACATGAGCATGGCTGAGCACTTTCACATTTCACAATCTTCAAATTAATAACTACATTTAATTTTTTTTATAAAATTTTATAAACAAAACAGACCTCAACATGATGCCTTTACAAAATCTTTACCACACAATGTTGCAGAACAAAGAGACAGTCAACCATCCAACCACCCCCGCCTCACACCCATTCAACACAGAGACAAAACAATTTTGGAACAAAAACACACACACACACACACACACACACAAACACACGCACACACACACACACACTCAGACAAGCACTGGCCAAAACCCTCTCTGATCCGTCACCTCTCTCCCACTACTCGCTTCTTTCTTCTAGGTTTTTTTAAACAGTTTGAAAGAAAAAAAATGAAACATGTTTTCTTTTGCACATTGAGAGCTGATTGGCTGAGTGATGGCTGAGGAGCTTGTTACATAGACATTATTACATTGTTTTTGTGGTTTCAAATGTAGGTACTTCAGCTTTAAATCATAACAGAATCGAATGTCTGACCTGGTTTGTTTGACCGGTTTGTTGTTGCATGGTATCCACTCTTCTGTTCCCACCACGCTGCACTCGATGTAGTATCCGGCCAGATGCTTCACGTCTTTGGAGCTGGCCCAGGACAGGACCACAGAGGTGCTGGTGTTCCGAATGGCCACCGGGACCCCTGGAGCTGAGGGCAGGTCTGTGTGCAAAGGCAAAGGATTGCTGGGAGAGATAATGGGATGGGTCTAACAAATCCCCCAAACAAAAAGTATATACAGTACTTGCTGGACAATTTAGGGCACTTGTACAAATTCTGACTTTATTTGCCATTTGCGGTAAAACCACATTGGAATATAAACTGCCTGTCAATTTTGCCAACATATTTGCAGTGCTTGAACAAAAGCTACAGGTTTTCATTTTGTAGCTGATGTAGCAAAGCTAACAACTGATTAAGGTGTTTTAGCACACTGTTGATCAGATAAATTCAATCTATTTTGACAATTAACATGCATCCCATCCCCACTCAAACCATAAACTCTGTTTCGGAAAAAGGCCTAATCAGTCATAAAATAAGTCCTGTGTATTTATTAACAATGATTTTAAATCAGAGGTTCAGACTGGAAGACTGGAGAAACTATGTGTGGATTTTCATCTTATCTCTATTTTCATGTTCCCTTCTGCATTCGTCATGCAGTGCTCTGCGGGGTCCAAGCTTCAAATCTTAACCACATTTCATGTAAAACATTATAAATTATGTAGGGACAGATTACTTGCCAACCTATAAATACAATTTTAATAACCCCCTTTTGAGTCTCTCCAGAACTGTGCAATACAAATCTTGCCTTGCCTTGGTCAATCAATGTGGAAAAACCCCAAACGATCAGAATCCCCCATACCCATCTTGTCCCCCACAGTGGTGTCGGCGGTGGGCTGGGAGGGCTCGCTGGTGCCCGCAGAGTTACAGCAGCGCACTCTGAAGTTGTAGGAGTTTCCTTCAGCGAGATCAAACAGAGCGAAGCGCGGAGACCTCACAGGCATCCCAGTGTTCACCCGCTGCCAGGTGTCCGTGCCCACAATGCACTGCAACAAAGGCAAGATACAGTGGTCAAACAGGGCGATTCTAAAGTCTGAAAAGACATTGATAATCAACCAAAATGTTTTTGTTCATCGTTGGATGTATACTTCGACTTAGCCACAAACTCATTTTGTCCCACTACCCAATACAAACATGTTATACATCTTCAGATTTACTTATTGTAGTACGATCCACACATCCACTTATCATAACTATAAAGAGCCAATGGCATCTATTTATTTAAATGTATTTTCTGAATAGAGTCACATTTATACACAATATGTGGCTTTCTTTGTACAGAAATGTACCATTTACAAGTATTTGTGGATGATCTAATGTACGAGAAGAGTGGAATTCTGCTGATTACAGATATGTTTCCATAAATGTAAATAAGAAGGTCGCATTGGTATCAACCTCAGAAAATTAGAATTGGTCATTCCCGAGCTGTAATTTATGATCTCCTTTTGCCTCAAATGTGATACTGCAGAAAGTGACGTACTTTTGATATAAATGAATTCTGAGATGGACATTTCTGGTTAATACAATTTCCATTACAATAATTTGAACCAGGGATTATCTGGAAGGTGGCAACTACTCGAAATAATGGTACTTGAAATGACAGTGCTTGAAATAACGGTACTTGATATAACGGATGGGGGATATATGAAAGGTGATGTCAGTAAATTCAAGATTTGTTTCTGTAGTTATTTTTTGTAGTCCAACTCTACTACAACAAGATTTGCTAAAACAGAGAAGTTAAACCAATGAGGAGTGAGCTCGCCTGCATAGGTCTTGCCTTTGAACATTCTCTCTCTTCACCATTTGAAAAGTATCTGACATGCACTGTGGCTACCTTCTCGATGTAGTACATGACGCCCTCGTGGCCTCTCTGTGCCGGGGGCTTCCAGGCCAGAACCACGTAACTTTTGGTCGCCTCAGTGACGACAACATCAGTGGGTTCACCAGGCACCACACCAGCTAAAGGACAGAAGAGGCTATTTTTTCATTTTATTCTATGTACAGATAAGGTCAAGTATAAAATGTCACAAAACATCATGAAAACCAGATGTATTACCAGTGGAGTCCTCCTCTGTAAATTTAATCATTCCAGTCCAAGGAGCCAACGGTCCAGCTGTGAAATAGAAAAAACATCAGGAAGTACAACTGGATGTTCATTTATGATGTTAGTCACTGACATTCAATGATACATCGGTCAAAGTTCCCCCACAACCTGAAGTCACACTAGAGTGAAACCTTCATCAAGATTGTTTTCTCATTGAAAACATACTAGGGGCAATTTTTAGCCTCACTCGTGTTAGTTTTATTCATTCAAATTGCCCAATCTTACAAAAACGCGATAATTACCCAGATAGGAATTCCACAATCAGAGGACTGTGCTGCTTTTTGTCCATAGATCGTTTTACGGTCAAAGAGGCAGCCTTCTGAGTGAATGAGATGGATGCCCTGATCCAGGCCCAGTGATGAGACGTGTGGGCTAATTAAGGCTTTTCATAATATCTCTGTACGAGAGCCTCAATCTTTCCATTTTTTGCATCCCTGGATTGAAGGACACATCCAAGCCGCACTCCTGCCTTCTCAATTTCTACAGGTATTCTGGCTGTGATTAAAGATTTCTTTGATAATCGATTAGTTGACAGATTATTCATTTGGTTAATTAATTAATCAGTTAGTTGTTTGGATGACAAGAGGCCTATGAATATTTTTTTATAATAAATACATTTTAAAAAAGAGAACATGTCTAATCGTTATGAGTTATTACAAAGTTGGTTGTGGTTGATATACATGTTAATCTGCAGTAATAATAGCTCTGTTGGGAGCTAATAAAACTCTCTGTGAAAAAGAAGAATTACTTGACAAAGAATTACTTGACAAATATTTTTGATTAACTTGTTGCAGCCCTAAAACAAACTCATTGAAAAATGCCTTCAACATTGTGATCTCGAAGGAAAAAAAAGTATATAGAATATTGAAGAATTTTTTTTGTAAATATTCCTAGCATGGTGGCAATGAAGTCAAGTCATGTCTCTGACTTGTTAAAAAATCCCCCTAATGTTTCTTTTATTTAAAGTCTGACCTCGGAGTCGTGCTCTGTCGGAAGGGTCCATGGCCACCACAGTTTCGGAGACTCTGGAGGGATGGCTCACTCCGGCCTTGTTCAGCGCCCGCACCCTGAACTGGTAAGATCTGCCCTCTGCCAGTCCAGTGACGGGGTAGCGAGCGTATTTCACAGGGATGTCGTTACACTGCACCCAGTGATGAGAGCCTGACTCACACCTGTACACAACAGGATGGTATACTGTAGTAACCTTTAGCAACTTTAACAAACATTTCCATTTGAAAGGGATTGAAGGGGATTTTAAAGCTAGAATACCTAACTATTTCTTTCATAATAATACATGTTCCCAACAGAAAGAGTCTGGTAAAAAATACAATGTGAACAAATCATGCCACAACAATAGTCTTCATCTTATTAGAAAACATGTGATCTTTTACAAATTGAATACTATTGAGCCTTGTGAGTCACAGTTTAAGAGCCGATTGGCTGAATGAGGGGTCATTTTTCCTTTTTCTGTTTGAAAAAAGTTGATCTAAGAATGTGACAAAGTAAAATACATACAGTACATGTGAAAACGTTTTGATTTGTACCAAACTGTGGGGTAAAAGTCTATGTGAGGAACTAGTAATGGATTTTGTCACATAGTTTGCATTCATTAAGTGTGGGGGGAATGTTGAACAATGAACATGTATATTACATCATATCTACACATGTATATGCATTCAAAACTAAAAAAGTCTTAGTATTTGACCTGTCAATGAAGTATCCGAGGATGGAACTGCTGCCCTCTACTGCCGGCTGTTTCCAGGTCACCACCACATAATCCTTATTCACATCCTGACAGCGGACGTCCAGAGGAGCTACGGGGACGCCTTCAACATCTGTCTCAGCATCTACACACACACACACACACACACACACACACACACACACACACACACACACACACACACACACACATGCACACACACAGGCACACACACACACGCACACGCACACAGAAGTGGAGAAAGTGCAGTGCATTAAGACAAGGCTGCAATTTCAGTTACAATGTTTTAAGTTCTTTGTAAACAGAAAAAGGGACTACAGATAAGCAATTTAAATGTGAGAGATTTTGAGATTATTTTGAAGATGGAATCTAGATGGATGGATCTAGTTCCAAGACATCTTTTTAATTTCATCATTTAAATATATTGACAATTTTGTTGTTGTGACTATTTTAGTTCTACTAGAAAATGTATACTCTCCTGATATTTTTGCACTGAACAAAATCGCAATTATACATTTTGCCAAAAATTGTAAATTGTGCATTTCCACAAAAGTGTTCTAACTGTGTGTGAACTGAACAGGACTATCACAGGTCTAAACTAGAACTACAAACTTAGTACAGTAAGTTAGACGATTTGATTTACATCTGTTCTTTAGAACTAAACCAGAACTAATAATAATGCATTTCATTTATATAGGTCTATTTTGGACACTCAAAGACACTTCATACCTCACTATTCTTTCACTCCACAAACAGTGATGAAAAAGCCACAGTTAATAATCTTATATAATCATTTGGTACAACTCACCACACACTGAAATAGATATAAAAATGCATGCACAATTATACAATAGCAAAGTGGACCTGTACAAGCCCACTGAGTGCACGTCTGATTTCATATGTGTGCACAAATACATATTCAATCATGTTTCTAAATTTATGTCTGAGCTTATCCATATCTGATTTCATTTTGACCAACTTTCAAGTACAGTATTTCAGAGGGATGAGTAGCAATGGGTGTCTGATGACGTTGTATCTCATCAAGAGTCAGAGACAATTTGTATGTTTGTAACTTTACTGTAACTTTAAAGTAGTGCGGCTGAATGTGAAGCGCAAATATAGCAGAAACATTCCACAGGAGAAATGTGACACCTGCAGACCGTGAACTGAGCTTGAAGGCATGTGAAGCCATATGTTCACGGGGCTTTACTTTCCAAAACAACGGAACACTGTTAATTATAGTTTCTTCTACATCCCCTCCATCCAATTCTTACTCCACAATATTGTTTTATTGTAGCGTGTAATACAATTGGGAGGTCTTCACAACGACATGAGAATGTTTTTGAACTGTTTAGTCTAGACTGGAGTGGTCAAAGATTGTTGAAAGATTTTCCCAAAAGCACAACAAACAACGAGACGAGGATTTGCAGATTTTTTTTTGCATCTTTTACAGTGTTTTCCATGAGACAAAAAATGTATTTTTTTGCTTACTATAGTTTCGTATAAAAATATCCACTTTTTTCCTTTAAATATATTTGTCCTTAATTAGAATCTAAACATTTAGGTAGTAAACATAAATAAATATGTTGTTAAAATGTTTTCATGTGTCCTTTTTTCAAGCAAACATAGTTACATTGGAGCAAACATTCATACATCAAATTTTCATCAACCGTAAACATAGTATACACACACACACACACACATACATAAAGATATACATAATTACATAGATACATAAATACGCAATATTTAACTGTTTCACCATGTGTCAATATACTTTATTCACAACTAAACTCGAAATGTACTGGTAAGCAGCACTGGTGTGTTGCATAGCAGAATAATCATTAACAGTAATAACAATTATAAAGTGTACCTCTGACAAACACGTAGGCGGAGTAGGAGTCGAATCCAGACTTGGTGTTGATGCGCAGAGTGTACATGCCCTCGTCCTCTTTGTTCAGATGCACCAGAGTCAGAGTGGCTCTCTCCCCAGACCAGTGAGTGTGCACCCATTTAGAGGGCTTCAGTGGCACCGCTGACAGGGGAGACACAACACAAACATTTGGAAAATATAGTATTGTTATATAGTGTCATTTAAAAGTCATTCTAAGGACAACTGATTCGAAATAGCTTTGGCCATATGCACCATGAAGCACACTGCAGACTGCTGAATGAGTTATTCTAGGTTTTCAAGATCAGTAATCTCCTATTACTGTAGCCACAGCTGCCCTGGGGCACACTGACCAAATAAAGGAAACCAGTCTGTGCTCTTCCGACCACCACCAGCCATTCAAACACACACCAGATTAATTCTAGGCAATGTAGGTAAAGTGTCTTGCCTAAGGACACAACAGCAGATTGGCACTTTACAGCCGCTGCCGCCCCACTGTGGCACCTGGTGTTCACATTCATGAAATTTGCTTACAAATGTCATTAATGTGATGTATGAATGAATATTATTGCAACAAATATTTAGCCTATATGCATTATCCATCCATCCATCCATTTTCTGATGGAAAATGCTCTACCAACTGAGCTACTGTCGCCCACAATATGCATTATATGTAAAAAAATATTTGTAATATGTTGTATACATGTGTTTTAGTAATATGTCGTGTACACATTTGTATAAAAGTTATCTGGCATGAATGATTGTGTTAACAGGGTTTGATGACATAAGTGTTAAAGGGACTGTATGTAATATGCTTAATGGTCTAAAGTCATTACTAATACAATCCAACCCTTGTTGAATCTTACAGCTCGTAACACATCCACCTGCTGTTTTATTAGAAACGGCACACACTCTGTGTGTTATGTATGACTACTTACTTATTTTTGCATTAGTTTTATCTTTTAAAAAAAATGTGTGGAGCTATTTTCTTTTCTTTTATTGTATTACGAACATCATGTTCATTGTATTTTTAAGTAACATATCTTTTGTTCAGAACAGGTCAAATATGATTTGTGCATGTCACCTGTTGTCTTGAGACACGCAATAAAGGTTTAGATGGATTTAACAATGAAAAGATTTCATACTATCCTATTAAACATCAGCTTAAACCCTTTGGGTTGACAAAGTAGTACATGTACTGTATGTGAAATTGTTCTTTTCTTTGTTGTGGTTGACAAATGACTGAAGAAACATAAATAAATAAAAACTAAACAAAGGAAACTGGATGTACTCATTATTACAGGCATTAATACTATATTCGTCTTTCTTTCTTTATAATTGACATTGACCTCTTAAAAACAAAAATACTTTGATCAGTACTCACAGTCTCTATACCAGATGACGTCAGGCTGGTAGTTCTTCACTGTAGGGAAGATGATGACAGAGCAGCCCAGACTCAGGGTCTCGCCCTCACGACCAAAAGCTACTTCAAACTTATCGATAATCGTGGTGTAAAAGGTGACGCCGTGCTCAGCGCTGAAACCATCTAGAAAAAGCATTTTTTTAAAGTCTCTGATGCATGAGAGCTGATTGGCTAATTGGAAACCTACACGTAAACTCCACTCAGAAATGCCTTGTTCCAACCGGAATTAAAACCTTCTTACTGAGAGGTGAGAGTGCTAACCACTCAGCCACCAGGCTGCCCAGAACAACAGAGCTAAATCACTTCATAGTATTTTTTCTGGTTTCAAAGTTAGGTGCTCCAGCTTTAACCATTAAAAGGAATATATTGATTAGGTAACAGGCCAATTTTAATCACTCTGAAGACAATGAAAATTAAAGCAATACTACAATATAAGAAGTCATAATAATAATCATTTACACTCCACTGAAAGATGATTGTCCAAGATTACACAACGCTTGCAGCACTTGCACTTACGTGGTTTGGGATCAAGTGGACCTGCTTCGTCACTGTCATGGAACCCTACAGTAAAACAGTCAGATTCAGTTTCACTTTATTTGCTGTTGGCAGTTGGAAACCACACTGGAATAGTTGCGCAGAAACCCCCAATGTGCAAAATAGACAACAAAACACAAAAGACAAAGAAAATCACTCAAGACAAGGAAAAACAAGTGCTAGATTTACCAATTAAAGTGCTTTGTTCAGATTGGTACGAAGCACAATCAGGTTGATATAAATGTGTTAAAAATGTCTATGAACGACACTTACGTTTGACAACAATCGTGGCCACGCAGGAAGCTTCTCCCTTCACGTTCAGAGCAGAGGCGTGGTACTGAGCCGTGTCAGCAAAGTCACAGCTGAAAACAGGAAGAAGAAGCACTTAATAAACCACAGTTCTTTTATATCAGCGGCAGCCTTGCATAGAAGACGTGGTAAGGTGAAGGTGTGTGGAGTAAGTTTAAGATTACCTACTTCTTGATCTGCAGGGAGTGCATGTTGTAGTTGTTCTCAGCACAGTACTTCTCAGGGTGGGCCTTAGCATCAATCAGGACGTTATTTTTATACCTGGAAAACAGTCCCGGTCAATGAGCAGCGGTGGCAAACTGTTTGTAGACGTTGAACATGAGTTAAAGTAAAATCTCAGTCACTTTTCAAACTGTGGAGAGAGAGTGAAACTTTATGAAGACAAGCACTCAGACCCACCCATGCTCAGCTTCCCAATTGGTTGATGCCCCTTGTCATTGGCTTAAAATTTCTCCTCCAGCAAATCTTACTGGTTTTAGTTACGCCAATGGAAGGGGCCGTTTTAAATACATTATTGTGGAAAAATACTTATTGTATGTAATAGTACTGTATTTCAGAGTTATATGTGTGCCTGCCAGAAGTTTTTTTGGTGAGGATGGTTCTAAAAACAACTCCAGGTCTGTTAAACAAATCACATATGACATAAAAATGGTATTTCCTTAGCATCTGACCCACTGATTCTTTGGTCAACTATTTTGTTGCAATCATTTTCTATATGCTCTTCTTTAAACGTCAAAATAATGGTGGAAGTCACTGAACATTACAATCATATGCTTTAACTCTGTGGTTGAGGATGAGCAGAAATCTCTTCTCACCAGGCAATTTTGGGCTTGGGCCATCCAGCCACAGTGCAGTGCAGTTTGACGGTGTTTCCCTCCCACACGGTCTGTCCACGAAGCTTCACTATGAACTCAGGGGCATGTGTCAGGCTGTCAGGGTTCATCTTCTTACGAAACTCAGACCACTCCTCCAGCTGAAACACAATAAACAAATGCAATATACCTCAATCAATCAATCCACCTCCATCTCCTACAAAGGCTCATGGGTTTATTTAAGGAATTATATATAAATATGGATAATGTTTACCTTTTAGCTCAGGGGTATGCAACTGGTCCTCAAGGGGCCGATGTGGCTGCAGGTTTTCATTCCAACCAAGCAGGAGCACACCAGACTCCACCCATTTCCTCCTGTGAGTTAGCCACAGTCTTAACCAGGGAATTGGGTTAAGCCTGGTGCGCTCCTGCTTGGTTGGAGTGAAAACCTTCAGCCACACCAACCCTTTCTGGAGCCAGTTTGACAGCCCTGCTCTAGCTCAATGACGCCTAAAATGACAGCGTTTTTTTCTCTGTCTTGGAACTTGCTTTGGCTCCTGTTGGCTTGCATTGGAAAGTAATCTCCTTATATCCTTATCACCATATAGGGTGTTTAAAAAATCCATGGTTTGGAGCCCTCTGTGAGCCTGGTATTCTTATTTTTAATTTCATTTGTCGATCCAGATATGAACAAGAACAACTGATGAATTGGTTCCTTCTATCCCTATATCTAACGAATAGTATGAGGAAGACAGACCAGCACCTCTCCTGATTGGCTCTTGATTGCTTGGTTGTTGCCACCCACAAATTTGAAGAAACTTGGCCCCCCATTCCCACCCAAAAAGCCATTGGGGTTTGCTGTGATCGGCTTCATCGACGGTCTGTGGTAGTTACCGTCTTTCCAAACTCGACCCGTTCTGCAGACTCCCGGACGTGTTTGGTGTGGCTCTTCTTCTCCACTTTGACCATTGCCTGGTGAGCTTCCCGCGTGAACAGGTTCCTCATGGCCACGTACTGGATGCCCTCCTCCGCCGGGCCGTCCTCCTGACCCTCCACCAGACCACGGACCACCTCATGACTGAAACGACAAGCCTCTATTCATCAAATAACGTGGCAATCTCAACCAAACAAGATATGCGGTGTGACCTAGGTTGATGAAAGTATGAGTAAGTATGAGAAATACTGTCGTATTGTCTTTTAAAAGACATGTGTATTTGTGTGTGCAGTTTTTTTATGTAAAATAATATCTAAAATCAAAACTAAAGCAAAACAAAACAAAAAAGTTATTTGGTTCTAAAAAAATTTACACAAAAATGTGTGAAACTTGCTCATCACCTGAACTAAATTAATTCCAGCACAGACTGCCATTTTTCCAACAGAAATCCCACAGAAAATGTACTGTAGATAAAATAATTAGTTAAGTGATTTTGGTCGTCTGAGAAACCACTGACCAATGAATCAACAAATAAAGGCAAACAGCCAAATTCTAATTATTATCGTTATCTAGGGGTGGGCGATATGGGTAAATATTTTTTTCCCAACTCCCAAAAACGATTCATATTTTTTTACATTTCAAACAAAAACTGAAACACATCCAAAAAGCCTTGTTCAATATTTAATGCAATTTATAAATAAAGCAGTATTGGCGTTTCAGGCACACGTTTGGCGAATGGGCATCTTTCCTGTTCTGATTGTATTATATGTATTGAAAAAAGAAAAAGAAGACGATAATACAAAAAAGCATATCTTCAAATTCACTTTTGCAATTTTTAAGATGAAGGTGAAGGGCTACTGTGTTGTGTTGTTCTTCAAAGTAACTACAGACTTTTAGCACAAATGAAATTCATTTTATTTTAAGATGTTTCTTTAGCATTCCTGCTCAAGTGAATTTTAACACATTCAGAAGAGAAAGAGGATGTGACAGAGTGAGTTGTGGTTAAGATCAGGGTTGGGGTCCACTCACTTGGCTCTGAATAGGGGTACCACGTAGCCGATGACCTCCTTGTCTGTATCCATTGCCAGAAAGGTGCGCTGGGCTCTTTTGGATAACAAGCTGAGTCTCACCACCTCCTCCCCCTCGGTCTCCAAGCAGCTCTTCAGGCTGACACCATGAAAGCAGTTAGAAACATCAGAAAGAATGTAATCCTGTTAAAGCCGACCTTAACTCGCAACATTGGTGTGCATACAAATGGTTCATGTTAATTATACCAAATGATCAAAGATGGCGCTGAGACTATGCACAATCTGCTTGTCAGGCTCACACTAGGGAACTTTTGCACATGTATTCCAATGTGGTTTTACTGCAAATGGCAAATAACTCAGTCTGAATCTGATGCAGGAATTCTGCTTTTAGAATCACAAACATAGAGCAACAGCAGATTAAAACACCCTGATACTTCATACTCTTAATGAAGATGAAGCAAGAAGGCTCTAGGTTCAAATACCGGTCGGAACAGGGCCTTTCCGAGTGGAGTTCAGTGGAGTGCAATAGTTCAGGGTGAGTGTGTGTTTTGTCAATGTGGGACAACGGATGTAAATTAGCCCATAGCTACGGTCCGGAGTGATGTGTGTCCTAACCAAATAAACAATAAAATAAAATAAATAAATGATAAAATAGATAAATCATTCTGTATGTGATAAAATAACTGATGGAGTCCTCTTTGCAATGGACAAATGTTATAATTTATGACAATTTGGGAATTTCTGAGCATAAGGCATTAACAAAATTGTACTGTTAGAGTGTGGAAAATGTATAGACTTTACATCATAAAAGCATATATTATTATGACAATGATATCAACTCTAACCAGTCAGTTAAAGATGTTAAAGATGCTGTATTTAATAACAGATTGGTTTCATATTTACATTGAAACTATGTTTATGCTAAAGTTAAATTAATATGTAATTGATGAAATATACTGTTGTTTGAGTCACAATACAAACTAAACTGAAAAAACTAAAACAGAGGATGTATGGACTAAAAAGATAACAATTTTCCCATAATGATATTGTATACCATTCTGTATGTATATTATTATGTATATTATGATATTATACATGTATATTCTGATAGTAATCATGTATAGTCTGATAGTATACATGTATATTCTGATAGTAATCATGTATATTCTGATAGTATACATGTATATTCTGATAGTAATCATGTATAGTCTGATAGTATACATGTATATTCTGATAGTAATCATGTATAGTCTGAAACATACAAATAACCCATCTTGTATTTCCAAATCATTCTCATGTTTTTGTCCACTAACATTGACCTCATAACAATAACGTCATTAGTCCAATACAGCAGCTTTACACTTGTCTAGCTCAGATCCTCAGGCCTTGTGGTACAGAAATAGCCCCGCAGTCCACAAATACCACTGGCAGTGTTTCAGCATGGGTCTGGTTCAGCCCCGGTTTAGAAAGTTCTGCCTGATTCCCACAAGGACTGACCCCGGCACTTGAAGGACTTGTCAAAGACCTCAAGTTGACAAGTATCATAGTGACACAAACAAATACAGAGAATACATGGACAGAATGGATTGAAAGAAAATGTATATTTCATCTTCACAAAAATGTATTGCTTTACCTAAACAACTGCACTATGGCAAATACTTTGGCTCATTTTGTCAACCGCAAACAAAGATTTTAATTAAGATTTTCTATTGAAAGGCTCCAACAGAGTAACAGACAACTCAGAAGTGAAAGAAAAATTAAAGTTTATACTTTGTGGAAACCTGTTTTAGGATATATCTCAACAAGCCTTGCACCGAATAGTCCTAGACTAAAAGATTTGTCCATTTATCTCAACAAAATAACTCAAACGGTCAGATTAGATAGAGAGCATTTTGCGAACAGGAGTTTTCAGGTCTTTCCACAGATTTAACTCAATTTAGATCTGGACTGGGCCATTCTTCGTGTTTAGGGTTATTCACATGCTTGAGGGCAAATCCCCTTTAGCTTCAGCAAGTTTTCATCCAAAATTGCTCTGTATTCTGCTCGATCCCTCTTCCTATAAACATTTTTTTATGCATACATTCCCTGCTGAAGAATATCGGGTCCATAGCATGATACTCACCCACCATATTTTAAACTGAGGATGGTGCATTTTGGGGAGATGAGCATTTATTTTTGTGCTATACATAACATTTGCATTTGTGTCAAAATAGATCAACAACTGCATTCTTCTGGCCACTTGTGTAGAGAAGATCAGTTGTTAGTTTAGTTTGCTCTGTGAGATATTCAAAGCATTGGACCTGTTTGGATAACTTTACCATGCTTTAAACGTGTCCAGTCCACAACTTCACCCATGAGTTCTATGGTGTGCTCCTTGGACTTCATTATGTTGTTTACAATGATTATTGACCAATACACACAATCTCTGAGGTGATCACAGAACAGCTGTAATTATACTAACAATACTGTGGATTATACTCAGGTGAGCTCTATCTAATTGTTGAGAATATCGCTTTTCTGCTGTATAATACATGCCCCACTTTCCTGTTTGCTGTTTTTCATAACAAAATCTTCTATTGTTTTACTTTCAGCTCACAGGTGTCTGTTACTAGCCTGGCCTTAGCCATCCGTACACTCCGCTCAGTTATCATTTCCTGCATTTAACGAAATGTAATTTGTACTATGGTGTGGTACGACCAGGCTAGTCTGTTACTTGGTTGTCAAAAAATAAAAACATGACCAAAGCTGCAACAGCTCAAATTGGACGAGTACTTTTGCAAGCCACTGTAGTAAATGTACTTTTGCAAATAGATACCTCAATGGATCAAAGGTAAAAAATTAATGCAACCGTCAGAGCATTTTAAAACCACTGTCAGGTCAAATGCACTTATATTACTTGATTGAGTGATGTATTCATTAGGGGAGATGAAAATCATTGGATCAAAAGGAAAAATGTAAATGTCTATAAAACTGAAGTATCTCTATATTTCATTATCATGTTGCCAATAGTGTCTATGTTATATGAGGAGAATACATCTAGCAAATTGTCCTAACTTATGAACTTGTTAGTGCATCAAAACAGATTTTCAAACACAACACTGTCTCGTGTAATGATATTGACTTCTTACCACTGCTGGCTCAGGCTGGTGTGGCTTGTCTGGTTGGAAGTGTGAGATGTGAACGAGTGCTTGCTAACAGAGGACTTGGAGCTCAGGTGAAAGCTGCTTTCAAAGTGATGCTTCTGTTCCTGATGCTGCTGCTGCTGGACACGGCGCTGCAGCAGTTTTCTCTTTTTGACCCGAACCTCCCCTGATTTGTCCGCCATCATTTAATACTTTACTTTGTCAGCTCTGAAAATCAAGCTGATTCATGTAAAAGGTTGTCTTGTTATTGGGGTTGTTAGTTTGGTCAAGGGATGGATGAATTAGCTATTAGAGATGGGGATTTGAGAGGTTATGGCAAATATGATAACACGTTGAGAATTAGATTACATTCTCAATGAAATTTGTCTACTGTGTTAAATGAAGAAGCAGGCTCACTGTTAACTGAATGGATATTGGGTGCTACTAATATGCCTACTTCACTAAAATGTTATATTTGGGCTGAATAATATTATCAGGTTATCTCATTGCTACACTGAAATGTTTGAAAGGCAGAATAAGATCGTGCATCAATTTCACCAGTGATGTATATATTTAACAAACAATGGGATTTTCTTTCTCGCAAATTGTCTTCTGTACCATGAGACGTGTAAATTATAAAAACTTCTAAACTACAGAAGCAAGTGAATGCAGTAATAAGGCTATGACACATTGAAAGCACTTCTTCATTTAGTTAGTGGCACAATGACACAGTAGCCACTCAGTAAATCCATTAGTGTGAACATAAAGTTACAAACCCAAAGTCCTGTGGATTATGGATTTAAAGATCCGGCAGTTGTTGTTACCAGAGCAGCCAGGCCCCGCAGGGCTTGACATAGTCTGAGATTACTATTACAAAACCACACACATAATTAATATATCATGAAGGACTAGTTATTAGTACTCTACTTACCACAAATTATATCCACCTATAAAGGTCGGAAATGCAATCCAAAAGTAGCAAAAGCAGGTCCAGGTGGAGCAAAGCGGCAGGGAGAGGGGCAGTGGACAGGCAGTCCACAGAACAAAAATAATGTTGCCACTCTGCAGAAAGCTCAAGACTCCGTCAGGACCTTTTAAGGCTGAGGCCACTTTATATTTAGACCTGACATACACTGAGAGGGCCAGGCATGGAGAGAAGAGTCTGTCACTGCTTCTCCAGACTAGAGTCTCGGGTAGAGGGAGATCGAGAGCCCAGACCAGGGCAACACTAGCCTGGCCTTAGCCATCCGTACACTCTGCTCAATCATCATTTCACTGCATGTAACGTCTGGGTCTGGTCCCTGTGTTTGCGATTACAATAGGTTGAATTTTGACCGACCAAACAGCGAGCGTGGAAGGAAAATGTTGTATTTAGTTGTGGGTGACGTCAAGAGTTTGCAAACGGGAAGGTTGTAGTTTGGCAATGGCAAAAAATGTGATAGTAAAGTAATCCGGTCTGGTTCTATCAAGAAATTGAAGCCGGAGCAAGAGGAATGTTTAGCAAATGTAATCGCTAGTGCGAATGTTATGTGTTGCTGTTCCGGAAGTGATTATAGAAATCCGTGTGGTCTGATTGGCAATCGAGTTTGTCACTCAATTAGTATTTGTCACTGCAGTACAGCTGGTGTTCAGGGAGAGACTGTCATGGGGGCGGTTCAGACGCTGCTCAAGGCCCAAGCTCAAGGCGGCTCATATCCATGGGCTCAAGGCCCAACTTTTAGGGGGCACGCCCTCAATTACTCTAGATTCTGAGTTTATATAGTGATACACTGTCTGCTCAGTGTCTCTCTCTGGACTAACTCGTTTTAATGGATTTTTTACTGCTTTTAATTCTTTTTAAAGTTACAGTTTAATGTATTTTTTATTGAAACTTCTTCACAAGCTCTTGAGAATTGTGAATTGGAGCCCAGAGCAAACTGAGACAATGAAGATGTGTTGCTGAAAACGTGCTAGCTCGGAGGCTACCACGAGGGCACCACGTCATGAGCTTTTATTAAACCTACACAGACATGGAACGCGACACTGCAATAACCACAAACCCTATAAACGACATTAGTCGCCTCACATTGGAGTTTCGTGAGAGGGACCGTGCCACTATTGCAGACCTCCGTAAAGAAGTCCTTCGCCTCACTGCAGAGCTGCAGGATAAACAGTCACTCGTGTCCAAACTCTTTGATGTCGCTGGCGGGCAGCACTCACGGCTTATGTCACTGAGCGCTGCATACTGTGACACTGTCGTGTGGGAGAGGTCTGTCAGCTCTGGACCCTCCTGTTCTACACCTAAGCGCCCGGTTCCGAATGAGGAACCCGCGAACTGCGAGGAGCCATCCAGCGCCGTGGCCCATGTCCTAAGCCTGTCAAACCGCTATGCAGCCCTCTCCGCTGACATCCCAGCCCCCTCAGCAGAACCTCTGGACTCTGCAGCGTACTCTGCCGTTCGTGGATCTAAGTCCACTGCGAGAAAAACGCTCCTAAAGGAAGCCGTCCTCAGACGAAAGAGTGGTCATTCCCCTTCTCTGACCCCAGTGCATCACCACCGCTTACCTCCACCGGGTCAGCAGCAGCGACCCGAGCCTGCTCCTCACGCCGCTCCAGCGTCCCCGAGCACACAGCGTGGGTTGCCCGGAGCTGAGAATCAACACCCCCGCTCCCCTCCATGTGTTCAGCAGCGCCCTGGTTCGGACTCATCCCTGGATGAGCCCGCTGGTTCTGGCCATGGACACCGAGCGCCCTCTCCGCGGCTACGTCCACTCTTCGCCCCGACTACTCTGATTGTTGGAGATTCCATCGTGAGACACGTCCGCTTTTTTAACGCGGTCACTCAGTGTTTTCCCGGAGCTACTGTGCCAGACCTGCTCATACGTCTCCCTCCTCTGCTTCAGTCCCTGCCTGATACCATTTCAAAGGTAATCGTGCATGTGGGGATCAACGACATGAAGCTGCAGCAGTCCGAGGTCACAAAGAAGCATTTTATGGATCTATTCCGCCTCCTCCAGTCCTCCGGGTTGTGTGTTTTTATCTCTGGTCCAGTCCCGACTGTAAACCGGGGAGACTGCTTGTACAGTCGCGTAGTGGCGTTGAACATGTGGCTCCAGTCTGCATGTAGCTCGTTTAACTTTATTTTTATGAATAACTTTGGCCTTTTCTGGAAGCGTCACGTGGCTTATCGTCCAGACGGTCTGCACCCAAATAGATATGGCACCAGCTTGTTGACGGATTACCTACGCCACGTTATTCAGTGTTCCCCGAGGGGGGCGTGACTGTTTACATCGGAGCCCCCACCACCACCACCCTCCTCCTTATTCTCCTGCTCACCAGCACCGGGTGAGTACTGTGGTGCAAACACTGACCCCTTTCCGTCTGGCAGTGAAATAACAGTCTCGCCTCTGAACCGTGCTGCCTCCTGCTCTAAACAACGAAGCAATGCCGTCCTGAATCCGGGACTTACACAGCAAAAGAGTTCACATGTTAGACAAATAGAAACTGTGTGTGTTCCTCGCATCAGTTTCAAAAAATGTTTTTATTTGAATGGAAAACAAAATCATAACAGAAGGACAGCAGTTAGACATTCAAATCTAATTCCTGCTCCTTGTAAAAATCAATTAACTAAACCCACTGTTACTGATATTAATTTTAAAATTGCTATGCTTAATGTCAGATCACTGTGCAACAAATCATTTTTAATTAATAATTTTATCCGTTCTTATGATCTTGATTTTATGTTTCTGACTGAAACTTGGCTTGACCAGAGTACAGGTAATGCGGTTTTAATAGAAGCAACGCCACCAAACTTCAAATTTGAATCTGAAATACGAGAAAATAAAAGGGGGGGAGGCATTGCTGCATTATTTAGAGATCGTATTATCTCTCATAGAATTCTCCTTGGAAATTTTCTATTATTTGAGTATATTTCTTTTAAAATAGAACAAAAACAATCTGCACAAAACAATAAAAAAAAAAAAATAATAAAAAAAAAAAATATGTACAATAGGTCTGGCATGTGCCTCCCTGTACTGGCACCACTCCCAAAAATAACAATTGTAAACCGCTTTGAGACTCCGATGTGCAGTGAAAAGGCGGTATATAAATAAAGATTACTAATAAAGATTACTAATCTCCTTCTATTCTTATCATTGTCCTGTACAAGCCACCGCAGTCATGTCACAATTTCTTTGATAATTTCACTGAGTTGCTTTCAGTTGTTTGCACCGATTTTGATAGTTTAGTGATTACAGGTGATTTTAATATTCATGTGGATAATGGCAATGACAAAAATGCAAAAGAGCTGAGTTCTGTACTTGAAACATTTGGTCTCACTCAGCACGTGAGTGGCCCCACCCACAGCAAAGGGCACACTCTAGACCTGCTGGTTACAAAGGGGGTTAATATTTTAAATGTAAATGTGGTTGACGTGGCTCTGTCAGATCACTTCTGTGTATTTTTTGACATGTGTTTTGATAGTAAACAACCATATATATCTGAATCTGCAATTGTCAGACACAGACACATAAATGAAAACACAACCGAACTATTCATGGGAATGATAAACTTTGAGAACACATTGTGTTCTACTGTTGACGAATTGTTTAACTCTGTCTCCGCCAATGTTATAAATGTTCTGGACATCATCGCTCCTGTGAAGGTTAAAATGATTACAAATAAGCCAAAGGCCCCCTGGACTAAAATGGACTCAGTCATGGTACAGAAGAGAGAGTGCCGTAGGGCCGAGCGGAAGTGGCGAAAATCCAATCTCCAGGTTGATCATGATATCTTCAAAAATGAGTTGTGCAAGTTTAACAGGGTGCTACGTAGAACAAGAGAAATTTATTTTTCTAAAACCATTGATGGCTGCAATAATAATCTACGACTTATGTTTTCAACAGTTAACGGATTAACAAACCCCCCTGTTCAGCTGCCATTCGAATTTGCTTCAGAATCTAAATGTAATGAGTTTGCACAATTTTTCAATGACAAGGTTCAGAGCATCAAAAACGCCATCACCTCCAAGGCAGAAATAACATTACAACAGCCGGTGAGGCTGTTTGAGCTATCGCACTTTGCACCAACAGATAATGAAACTGTCCAAGATGTTGTCTCTAGCCTTAGTTCCTCCACATGTAGCCTGGATGTACTACCCACTAAATTTTTTAAGTCTGTTTTGAGCAGTCTTTTACCTTTGCTCACACAAATAGTGAACATGTCT